ACCTTTTGTGGCATAAACGGGAATCTCAGGAAGTAGGTTATTTTACCTCTATATTTGATACTGGTATGACTGCTGCTGGAATACGTGTCCACAATTCAAGAAGGATGTTGATAAATTGGAAAGGATTCAGAAGAAACACAAGAATGATTAAAGGATTCCTTATAGTGATAAGAAAAGGAGTACTTGTGGCACCTTAGAGACTAACCAATTTATTTGAGCATCCGATGAAGTGAGCTGTAGCTCACGAAAGCTCATGCTCAAATAAATTGGTTAGTCTCTAAGGTGCCACAAGTACTCCTTTTCTTTTTGCAAAGACAGACTAACACGGCTGTTACTCTGAAACTTATAGTGATAGACTCAAGGAGCTCAATCTATTTAGTTTAACAAAGAGAAGGTAAACGGGTGACTTGATTACAGTCTGTAAGTACCTACATGGAAAACAAATATTTAATAATAGGCTCTTCAGTCTACCATAGAGGTTCTCAAACGGGGGGAGGGGGAGAATTATTTTGGGGAAGTTCTATGACCTGTGTTATACAGGAGATCAGACTATATTACAATGGTCCCTTCTGGTCTTGGAAACTATGAAAGAACACAACCCAGCATTTCACATATTTACCAAACAATCCAGAATTGTGCAGAAAGTCACATGATCCTCAAGGAAGTGAAAACTTACACATGCATACATCAGTATTGATCATGTCTTTTTCAAGGCCCTGAGTACTACTCCACACATAAATTACTTAACCGGTATCTACTTTATATTAGTCATTTCTGATTATTGTATCCTTTTTAGCTTCTGTAAGGCACAGATCAGAAAGACTCATTTTTACAGAGGATTCTCACCTGTTTCTTACATGTCTTGTTAATCCTGATTTTCTAGTATTGAGAGGGGAAATTAACTCACTGTTTAAAGCCTTATTTTGGTTTTTTTGTTCCATTCTGTTTAATATATATCTGGTAAACAGCAGGGTGGAAGGAATCTGTCAGAATTTCAGCATCTCATTCCTTCAATTAAAGATTGAGAAAGCCCCCACTCCAGTTCCCTGAACCTCTGAAGAAAAAAAATTCTGCTTCCCCTCCATCACCACCCGCAAACATTTTAGGCCTTTTCGATGTCCAAGAGGAAACAAAAGGTCACAAACTCTCTGCTAGGACTCTAACACCTAGCAGGACCTGTAATACCTCTGGAGAAGACTTTCACTCATTCAAAGGACCATTAAAAAGCAACTCTGAGGAAGCTGCCACCACTCTGTCAAGATTTCCACACTTCTGCCCTAGTCAGCAAAGAGACCCTCCGCCTGTAAAGCAGAGGTGGCTTCCCCCAGTGAGTGGGAGGAGCTTGCACTCACCACTACCCCCTGGACCACGCCCCCCACCACCGAAGAGACAAGGGCTGGAATGGAAACCAACCAACCCTCGCTCCATACCCCAAGGGCTGCTGCCTCTACAGCAGTCAACCAGGGATACGCATACCCCTGGGGCTACATCAACTCACCTAGATATTTGTCTAGTTTTATAACAGGCTATACAAAAAGCATTAGCGAAATTAGTACAACATAAAATTTCACACAATGACTTGTTTACATTGCTCTATATACACTATACACTGAAACGTAAGTACAATATTTAAATTCCAGTCTATTTATTTCATAATTATATGGTAAAAATGAGAAAGTAAGCCATGTTTCAGTAATCGTGTGCTGGGACACTTTTGTATTTTTATGTCTGATTCTGTAAGCGAATAGCTTTTAAGTGAGGTGAAACTTGGGGGAACACAAGACAAATCAGACTCCGGCAAGGGGTACAGGAGTCCGGAAAGGTTGAGAATCACTGGCCTACAGGGCTCACGGCCCCTTTTCAACAGTGGCTTTGGGGCACACGGGGAACACCAGGGAGCCCTCAGCCCCACCACACCTCACTGCCCCCTCCCCCCACCACCAGCCCACGGACCCCTTCCCCCTGCTCATCACCCCCCAGCCCACCACATCCCGCCCCTCCCCCGCCACCACCCGCCTCCCCCCGCTCATCAGCCCCCGCCTCACCTCGCCGCCGCTCTCCAGCAGGAGCCACTGGCCGCTCATCCCCACTCGCCTGAGGCACCAGGTCCGGCCGGAGCCCCCCGCGGGCGAGGAGCCCCCGCGCTCCGCCATCCCGCCTGCACCGTCCGGCCTCGGCAGCAGACAGGAGCAATCGCTAAAGGGGACGGTGGCACCATCCAACTCCGGGCGGCAGGACGCTCGCTTGCCTCCGGTACCCACAACAAAGATGGCACCAAACCCACGGCGCCTGCGCGGGGCAGCAGCCCAGTCAATCGATGCCAGAGCCGTAACTCTAAAGGGGCAGGCTCTGTTCTGCGCGTGCTCAGAATTCACCCCGGCGGCCAGCGTCTGCAGCGGCGAGCCCAGCCCGTGCAGCTGCTGCTCTGCGCTTCACTCCCCCAGCCCCGCGACTGTTGTTACTGGCTGCTGCGTGGACTCAAGTTAGGGCCATAGGTTGCAGGCAGGGGTCAGTGATGCTCAAACCGTAGCTGCCCCGCCTGGCTGCTGACATGTCCTGCTCCCCAGGGTACAGGATGTGGATCCCAACCCTACAGTGCTCACCCTCTGGGCCATGATGCCCACGAACTGAGCGGGAGGAAACCAGCAGATCTCCAGCCCCCATTGCATGTTTATGAGAGGAAGCTACATGGCTCTCTCCCCCCGCGGCCACCACGGCTCTGTCGTGTGTACTCAGCGTGCTGACCCAAGCCCAGCAGAATAGGCCCACAGACTGTACCAGCAGTACGGTAAATTCAGGTGAGAGCTTCACACGTGAAAGCCCTATCACCCCTTGCACAGAGGATTGTCAGTACACAAACAACCTGAGGAATGATACAGAGGTCAAACATGTCCTCGGGTCTTTTCACTTTATGGGACTTAGAGGTATTACCTGTAACATGGTAGGTATACAATTTTGACACAGAAACATGATTTTTTCCAGGTTGTAATCTTCATTTGCTGTTGCCAACTCTCGTGATTTTATCACAACTCCCACAAAATTTTGATGTCTTTCTGAAAATGTCAGCTCTTGGAAGCAAGGAATTAAGGGAGAATCTCACCTTTCATTTAAAAAAATAAGTTTCTGTCCTAATAGGGAAAAAAAAGTTTGAAAACAAGACATGAAGGTATCGTGAAGTCACCAAGGACAAAGGCAAAGAAAAAGACCCCAACATTTTTTTTTAAATCATGATTTTTTGGGGTCTGATTCATGACTTGGGGTTAGCAATGCTGATTATTATTGAACATTGGAGATATGGAAAGTGTTGTCCACAACAAAAGAAACCTGGGCCCCAGCATGCAAAAGTTAATAAATATATGATGCACAGGACCCCAAATTGGTGGAACTGAACAACAGGCTAAAGGAAAAGTAAGACCCACCAGCTGCCAGGCCAGTCAGAGAGGAGCCAGGTGGACAATGCTCAAGGGTCCAGGTTCATCAGAGAGGGGAACTAGGGTTGCCAACCCTCCCGGTTTCACTGAGAGTCTCCCAGAATCAGGCCCTATCTCCCAGAGGCTACTGACACCAAAATGGGAGATTTTATGCCGCTAAAAGTCCGGCAGCGTAGCGGGGCTAAGGCAGGCTCCCTGTCTGCCTTGGGCCCACACTGCTTCCGGAAGCAGCCGGCACATACCTGTGGCCCCTGGTGGGAGACAGGTGGTCTCTGTACGCTGCCCACGCAGGCGCCAACTTTTGTTGGTGGCGCTGGGTGCTCGTGCCCAGGCCCCAACTCCACCCCCTCCCTGCCCCTATTGGACCCCTCCCCAAATCCCCACCCCAGCCCCACCTCTTCCCTGAGTGTGCCGCATTCCTCCTCCTCCCACCTCCCAGCGTGGCAAACTCTCGGAGCCAGGGGAGAAGCAGGACACGGCGGCACGCTCGGGAGGAGGCGGAGGCGAGCTGCCGATGGGTGTAGAGCACCCACCAATTTTTCCCCGTGGGTGCTCCAGCCTGGAGCACCCACAGAGTTGGCGCCTATGGCTGCCCGTGCCCCAAGTGCCAACTCCACAGCTCCTATTGGCCAGGAAGTGCCCTCTGTTCCCCATCTCCCCCAGGAGCCGCAGGCTGCTTCCAGGAGCGGTGCGGGGCCAGGGCAGGCAGGGAGCCTATCTTAGCCCCAATATGCTGCCAATTGGGAGCCACCCCAGGAAAGCACCTCCCAGCCGGAGTGTGCACCCTGAACCTCCTTCTGCACCCCTACCCCAGCCTGAAGCCCCCTCCTGCACCCCTCACCCCCTCCCACACCCCAACCCCCTGCCTCAGTACTGAGCACCCTTTCACACCCAAACTCCCACAGCTTGCACTCTGCACCAGCCCTGAGCCCCCTCCAGTACACCTTGCACCCCCACCCCTCCTGCACCTCAACCCCCTGCCCTAGGCTCAGCCAAGAGCCCCCTCCACACTCCATACCCCTCGGCCCCAGCCCAGAGCTGGGACATCCCAACCCCCTGTCCCAACCCAGTGAAAGAGACTGAGGGGGGGAGAGCGAACGAGTGACTGAGGGAGGGGGAACAGAGTGAGTGGGCGGGGCCTCAGAAAAGGGGCGGGGCAAAGGTGTTTGGGTTTGTGTGATTACACAGTTGGCAAGCCTAAGGGGAACTGTCACTGAAGACAAAAAGGAAATGGACAAGTAGGGTTTACCAGTAAGACTCCGCCCCTGCCACCAAGCTCCACGCTGCTACTTGGCCAGCAGCTGGTGCAGGGGACCGGAGCACCGAGCTCTGCAGAAGGTGGACCAGGCCGAGCTCCGCTCACCCCCACCCCACCGAGCAGCCGGGTGCCTCGGTGCCAGTACCACGTGCTCGGAGGCCGCTTCAGGCGGACCTGTAAGGGGCGCAGAGCATGCTGGGAGGTTGAGCTCTGCAGACCCCCGTGCGACTCCCCGATCCCACCAGCCCCCGCGGCAGGGATTTCTCTCTTGCTGCCGCCTCTCTCGTTGAGTGGTTTCCCTCTGACGAAGCGAAGCCGGGTCCGGCTTTCAGGAGTTCCGCCCACAGTTAAGATGGCCGCGGGAGGCCATGTGCGGGGGCTGCTCCGGGTCCCCCCGGCTTGGTGCTGCCGCCCGCGCCGGGCTCGCTCCGCCGCCGCCTGCCCCCCGGCCGGGCAGGTCCGCCAGGCCTTTCTCCGCTTTTTCCAGGAGCAGCACAAACACCGCCTGGTGCCCTCGGCCCCGGTGCGGCCCCGCGGGGACCCCGGGCTCCTCTTCGTCAACGCGGGCATGAACCAGGTGGGGGCGAGCCCCGCGGCGGAGCTGCCTGAGCCTGCAGACAGGCGGCTCCCGGGGCCGACGCAGCCCCCGCCCTGGGCCCCCAGCTGTAGCGGCTGGGCCGTGCCCAAGCTCCTGGCAGCCGAGCCCCGGGGCTGCCTGGCACTGGCCAGAGCCGCGGTCACCTCGCAACCGCATCGTCGCTGCCAGGGGAGCTCTCAGCAGCCCCGGAGCTGTAGCCCCTGGTGCCCTCCGAACCCTCCCCAGCACCTGGCTGTTGAGTTCTGGGGCCAGCCAGTGTCTGGTAAATCTTTCAAACGCTGGTGTAGTTACCCATCCTTCGCTATCAGAAGGGTAGCTGTGTTAGTCTGTATCCACAAAAACAAGGAGGAGGCCGGTGGCACTTTAAAGGCTAACAGATTTATTTGGGCATAAGCTTTCGTGGATAAAAATCCCACTTCTTTAGATCCATCCTTAGCTGTGAGGGTGGCATACTGCATCCGGGCAAAGGGCTGCAGCAGGTCCTCTGGGCAGCACCCATGGATCCATTGTGCATGTAGCTCACCCCATTGCATCTCTCTGTAATAAAAAAATAGCAATCTGTCTGGCCCTTAGCAACATAGCATCTAGGTGCCTCACTCTCATTGCTGGGAACACCGCTGTGAGGCAGGAAAGTGCTGTCTGTGTCTGACAGATTAAGTGGTTTGCTCAGGGTCTCACACGAAGTCTGTGTCTGAGCTGAGAATTGAATCCAGGTTTCTTGGGTCCCAGATCAGTGCCCTTATCAATCGGCCATCCTTCCAACCTTTATGTTTGTCTGCCATGGGGACCGATGCAATATGCAGTGCTTAGACTCCCATTAGAGTTGACAGTTGTCCTTCACAACTCCTTTTGAAGTTGGATTGAAAATGAAACCTTTGGAATGTTTTCCACAAACATGGAATTGTGTTGGGCCGGAGAAGGTGGGGGGCCTGTGGGAGACTCAGGTTCAAGTTCTGGTCTGCCTTGATTTGGGATGAAAAGCTCTGCTGTCTGAATCAGGGACTTGATCCAGGGTTTCCTACCTTCTAGGCTAGTGCACTAACCACACGGCCAAAGAGCGTCTCTCAAGCCTATCTGACGTATTTCACGGAAACAGATACGTCTTTGTGAAATGTTTTGGTTTTGTCAAAACGGCATATTGCCTGAATTTGTTCCAACCAGCTCTGACTGCCATGCCCTAAATACTTCAAGGCAGTAAATCCTGTGACAAGCTTTTCTCGTTACTGTTATTATTTAATAATTATAGCACAGTAGTCTCAGAGGCCCCAGTCAGGGGCCCATTCTGCTGGGCAGTGTATGAAAATGGCTTGATTTTCTTTGTGTTCCCTTTTAGTTCAAGCCCATTTTCCTGGGCACAGCACATCCCCGAAGTGAGCTGGCACAGTACCGGCGTGTGGTGAACAGCCAGAAATGTGTGCGCGCTGGCGGGAAGCACAATGATTTGGATGATGTTGGCCGAGATGTTTACCACCACACCTTCTTTGAGATGCTGGGGAACTGGTCTTTTGGGGATTACTTCAAAGTGAGATGCTAGCGCATGAGCTCCTTAGGGCAGGGATCAGGTCTTGCTGTAAAGTGTCAAGTGCACCCTGTGGCACTGTAAAAATAATTGTACCAGGCATGTTCTCTCAGCTGCTCTGATAAGCTTGGAATTTTTTTGCTGCAAGTTCCATGATTTAAACCAGAGGGTTCTAACCATAGTCAGCAGATCACATGCTGGCATTCTGTGGAGAATTTGCTGGTCTGGAGGGGCTGGCTGATTTTCCAGTTGCAAAATCACACTAAAACAGGGCTCTCAAACACGCTGCCCATGGCACTATTTGCTGCGGTCCGCCAAGCTCCCCGCACCCGCCCCCCCAGTTATTTCCTGAGGCTACCAAGCTCCCCTCCCCCGCCCCCTGCGTGCCTCATCCCTGCTCCTGTACCTACCTCCAGGCGCTTCCCACCACCAAACAGCTGTTTGGTGGCACTTAGCGGTTTCCAGGAGGGAGCAGGGAGCCACGTGCTCAGGGGCGAAGGCAGGGCAGTGGCGGGGATTTGGAGATGGGGTTGAGGTGGGGACTTTGGGGAAGGGGTTGGAATGGGGGTGGGGCCTCAGAAGGGGTGGTGTGGGTGCAGGGGCAGTGGCAGGGAGCAGTGGCAGTGATGTGGCCCTTGGGCCAATGTGTTAGTCTTGATGTGGCCCTCCTGGTAACTTGAATTTGAGATCCCTGCACTAAAAGAAACTACCAATCCGTTAAATGTTTAGCTAATTCTTACATGAAAGTGGCAGTTTGTGTAGTTGTCATAAAAATAGTATGTGATGGCAAATGAGGTGGCAGGGGATAGGGATGGGTGACACCAAATGGGAGGGAAGGCTTCCATGAAGTAATCTCTGGTTTAAAATATGATCCATATTAGGAAAAGGTTTGCTGACCCCCCCTGGTTGTTTATGCATCTCCGAAGGGAACCCTGAATTGGATGCTTACCTCTAGAACAGGGGTTCTCAAACTGTGTCTCGGGACCCCATTTGAATGGGGTCACCAAGGCTGGTGTTGGTCATGGGCCTCAGCAAGTCTGAAGCCCAAGCCCCACTGCCTAGGGCAGAAGCCTTTGGGCTTCAGCTTTGGCGGCGGGGCTCAGTCTTTGGTCCCCCTTCCTGTGGTTGTGTAGTAATTTTTGTTGTCAGAAGGGAATCATGGTGCAATGAAGTTTGAGAATCGCTGCTCTAGGAATTACCCAAAGAAAATGGTGCCAGCTTCAGATGACTTGAGCTAAGAACTGCATGGTTCATGAGGGTGGTCTGTGGAGTATGTGACCCAAATTGGGGTAGAGGTTGCAGCCTAATTCCTGGGGAACAGACATCCACACTTCATACATCACCATGACAGTTAGTGCTAATGTTCCCCTTGTCGACTTACTCATCAAGACTTACCCATTGCAAGAGGGTACCACTCATAGTGCTCCGCCTATTGGACAGGCCATCCTGGGATACTCAGTTCACCAGTAGGAAGGTCAAAACTTGCCTTACTTAGATAACTGAAAGCCTGCCTTGGTGTCATAGCCCCTTAACACTCTGTGATACACTATAGAATGGCAAAGGGAGAGTGCAGCTAAGACTAGCTTCTTGAGTATATGATTCCCTTTCTTTCTACTCCTAATGCTCAAGTTGGAGTCTCTCACCTGGGTGCTGCTGAATAGCTGTGCTCTCCTTTGTTTTCCCTCACTCCATTCAGGAGGAAGCATGTGGCATGGCATGGGAGCTCCTAACACAGATCTATGAGATCCCAAAAGACCACCTGTACATCACCTATTTCGGAGGAGACGCCTCACTGGGTCTGAGCCCAGATGAAGAGAGCAGGGACATATGGCTTAGCCTAGGGTAAGTGTGTGAGAGAAGCGGGACAGGAGTGTCATGGGCAGAGATGGGAGATGCAAGTTCACTCACCTGCTCTTTAGCTGTTAGGATACAGGTGTGGAAGCGAAAAGAATACATCAGTTCTTTGACTCTGTCTTATTTGAGTCCAGTTCAGTTGGATTGTTATGAATTCAATAGTGGCCTGACAGCCCTGAAATGTTTTATCCCTAGATTGCCACTTCAAATGCAGCTCTGGGTTAGTCAAAATGGTTACTGTCTGGCCTGTGTGAAATGAGACCAGTGGTCTCAGTCCTGTCCTTAGTAAAGATGTCCATGCAATTCCACCACTACAGTTGATGTTACAGTAGAACCTCAAAGGTATGAACACCAGAGTTACAGACTTACTGGTCAACAGGACACCATCTGGAACTGGAAGTAATCAGGCAGCAGTGGAGGCACGCACACAAAAGCAAATATTTTACTGCCATGTGCAGGGGCTGCTTCGGGTCCCCCCGGGTTGGCACTGCAGGGCAAGGTGAGGTCAGGGCTGCGGGCAAGGAGTGGGGCTCAGGGCTTCAGCCCTGCAGGGAGCACCGGGGCTCAGGGCTTCAGCCCTGTTGCTCCTTTCCTGGCTTCAGGCCCGTGTGGGGCGCCAGAGCTCAGGGCTTTAGCTATGAGGGGAGCACCAATCTCATCCCCAGCTCTCCCCCTGTAGCTAAAGCCCAGAGCCCCAGCACACCCCGCAGGGCTGAAGCCCCAGTGTTCCCCTCAGATCTAAAGCCCTGAGCCCTAGTGCGCCCGAGGGTCAGAAGCCTCCCCCCTCCGCACGGCTACAGTGCCAAACTCTCTTCCCCACCCCCCATTGCTGAAGTCCGTAACTTTTGACAGCAGTAGCCTCTTCTGCAAGTGCAGAGAGAATATTTTCTTCATTTCAGTTTATTCAAGTAGTTCAGTTCAATTACTAATACACTGATTTCTTAACTTTCAGCTGGGAGTTGAAAAAGCAGGAAAGCTTGTTTTCCTCTTCCAGTATATGACTTAAAACTAGGTATGAGAGGATGAGCTCTACTAGTTCTAAAATCCTGAAGGACATAGTGACCTAAAACAATCAGTTCAATTCACTAACTACAGATAATATTCCCTTTGTTTAGTAAATCAGTTAGTTTTAAATGAAAAACCTGTTTTGATATCCTTTTTGATACATAAGGAAAAAAGTATCCAACACATTTGTTTTTTAATTAAAAAAAAATGCTGTTTTTGTGCATTAATAATTTAATTTGAATTTCCATCCAAATTGAGCTTGACACAAACAAAAAAAATAATTTTCATATTGTATATACAAAAATGCAACAGGCATCATCTACAATAATAAAGAAATTTTTAAATTAAGAATCTGAATATACATACATTAAGATATATAATTGGTTAAATATCTGTGCATAAGAAAATTCCTCCAGGTTATCCAAAAGAAGCACTGAATTTAGCGTAAAGGTTATATTAAGTTGCAGATCAACATGTTTTAAAGGTTACCAACAATGAGAATCAGCCTTTCTTTAGGAAAATACCTTTAAAAGTACAAATGCAAAACAAAATTAAAATCGATGATTTAAGTTGAAATCAAGGCTTTCTACTTGCTGATGAAAATTGATGATTTAAATCATTTTGACTTAAATCAATCCACCCTACTCCAGGGCAGAGAGGAAGCTTGTTGGTTGAAAGGGCTGGTGTGTGCGGTAGCTTGTACAAGGCAGCAGCACATGTTCTTTGGTCCCATACCTCTCTCTCGCCCTGTTCAGTACCCTTTCAGATCTTGACTCTATTGGAGTTTGCTCCAGTGAAGGAAACTGGTTGATTGACCCAGTGGAAGAGGAAACATCTCCCACATCAGCTTGCGCCAAACTGAGTCTGTTGGCCAAGTTCAGCAGTGAGCAGGGTGCCACGTGCTGTGATTCAGTTTGTTCCTGCTCAGTGGCCATTGTTGGAATAGAATGTAATTAATTTAGGAGAAAATGGTGGGGAGGCTAATTCAGCCCCCTCTGAGCAGAAGCAAGTTAACCCTATAGAGTTTGGAAGGTGAGGTGGCAATACAGTCAGAGAGGGAGTTCCCCCAAACTCCCTGACCCATGGTAGCCTGTGGTTCATCTACTCTGAAGGGAACAATCTGCTACCCCAGCCCGGTCAACTCTGCTGCTTTCCTTTTCAGGGTGCCTCCCAGTCACGTGCTTCCTTTCCCACTGAGGGAAAACTTCTGGGAGATGGGTGAGACGGGCCCTTGCGGCCCCTGCACCGAGATCCACTACGACCACGTGGGTGGCGGCAGGCACGCGGCAGCACTGGTAAACCAGGACAGCCCTGATGTGGTGGAGATCTGGAACCTGGTCTTTATGCAGTACAGCAGGTACTGGGCTGCTGGGAGCTGCCCAAGAGGCTCATTTCAATAGTATGAGACTTGCACCTCACTAAAGACATTTACGTTTGAGGACTCCCTGCTCTTCACTAGCAGATGGCAGCACCCAGGGCAAGGAGGAGCCTTTCTCTATCTCCCCACTGCTCTCCTCTGTCCTGACTGGTGTCCCCTTTTCCCCTGCTCTGCCTTGCCTCACAGACCACCCTGCCCTGCTGCTGCTCCTGTCAGTCATGTCCCTGGGGTTGCCCCCTTTTGCTGTGTAGCTGCGCCTGTTAAGTCACCTCTGTGCCCCTTCCTGCACGCTGCCCTGCTGCTTCCATCCCCAGTCTGTATCCCCTCCCCACCCCACCAAGATGGATCAGCACTTGGCCTCAGACTAACTTCTGCTTCTCTGGCTTGTGTTTTGGGTGGGGGCTGGTGTGTTGCCAGAGAGGCTGATGGGAGTCTGCGTCCATTGCCCCAGCACCACGTGGACACGGGGATGGGCCTAGAAAGGCTGGTGACGGTTCTGCAGAACAAGCACTCCAACTACGACACAGACCTCTTCACCCCCATCCTGGATGCCATCCACAAGGTGATGATCCGCCACCAGGGGGTCACAGCTGAGCCTAAAGTACTTCCCACTCTGGGTCTGTAGAGGTTACTCGCTGAGCATTGAAATGCAGCTCCCTCTGGGGTGGGCCATAGCAGCTGTCAAACAATACACAGCAATGCTGCACAACAGCTTAAGACAGGATGTGTGTCCAGTTCGAAGAAGAGTGGGATTTTAGGGAGACGGGAGAGAATTTCCCAGGTTGGAATTTAACCAGGACACCAGAGTTGATAGCCCATGTTACAAGTGGCCTGAGATTTTAATTGCCCCAAGTGGCCAGAGCCTGGGTTTGACGATGACTCTGACATACATGAGCCCTGGTCTCTCATGTGCCAGATGGGTGTTAATGTGGTGCACTTGGCATGCAGGGCAGACTGGCATGAGTGTGGGGAGGGGATTAGACACATGCCGGGGATTAGGAGAGAGAACCTCCCAGGGGTCAGATTCAGCCCTGAGAACACCCCCCCCAGAGCAACATTACGCAGAGTTTATGGCCAAATGCCTTTTGGAGTAGCTGTGCCATTCAGAGCTGGGTGCCTTGACTAAAACGTCTCCATTTCTGTCCCCACCCCTCCACAGGGCTGCGGGGGGCCTGGGTACCAGGGCCTGGTGGGGGAGGCCGATGTCGGGTCTGTGAACATGGCCTACCGCGTGGTGGCAGATCATGTGCGCACCCTGTCCGTGTGCATTGCCGACGGCGTGTACCCCGGCATGTCCGGGGCTGAGTAAGGATGTGTGATAATGAGGGGAGGGGCTGCTTGGCTGTGAAGAGGGGGAGAGTACAAGCAACAGTAGGGTGGATGCCCTGGCTGGAGGGGGAATGGGTGAGTTGAGTGTAGTTGAGTGGAGGTGAGAGAGAATATAGGGTATACAGGACAGGAGGGGCATGGAGAAACTGGTATGGTTATGCAGGGTTGGCCCTTTGGGGATCAGATGGGATAAGTGTGAGGTGGGGGAAGCTGGTGTGGGCAGGGCGAGGGGAGCTGGCTTTTGGGTCTGTGTGTGGGAAGATGGGTGGAGAAGGCAGAGCTGGTTTGTCCGTGTGGGGAGACGTGGGCAGGGATCTGGGCAGAAAGGGCGAGCTGATTTGTGTAAGGCAATGGGTAGAGAGGAGGGAGCTGGCTTGTGAGTGGGTCATGGGGGGAGCTGGGCTGGGAACGGGGAGCTAGTTGGGAATACTCAAATGGCTCTCTTAGGAATCCGCCCCTGTCCGCAGGCTGGTGCTACGCCGCATCCTGCGCAGAGCTGTCCGGTTTTGCTCTGAAGTTCTCCACGCTCCGCCAGGGTTCCTGGCCAGCTTGGTTCCTGCCGTGGTGGAAGTTCTGGTAAGTATGAAGGGCTCTTCTTGTGGGGAGGGAGATTTGCTTATCAGCCAGTGTCTCATACAGCCAGATGTTTCTCAGCTGAGCGCGGGAGCAGTTTCTGGAGCAAGCACTGGCAAGAGAAGACTATATCCGGTGCGGATCTCTGACTCTGTGAGCTGTTTATCCCAATGACACTCGGCCTTCTTATTTCTATAGGCTCAGGGCTCGTTGTGATAAACAATACATTCAGCACAAGCATGGTGCGTGAGTGTGAAAGAAGAGAGATGGGCTGCCAGTATAGACACTAGTGTGGTGGTTCCCAAAGTGGTCTCTGGAGAGCTGGCGGGTCATATGGTGCTGGCTCTCCTCCCTTTTGTTTCTTCCTGCTAAATCCTACAAAAAGAAACTAAAAATACATTGAATATTTTCCTAATGTTACATTTGCACATAAGCGTTTGCTAGAGTTGCCACAGAGACGTCATGCAACAGCGAATGGGAGGAGAGGTGGAATCGGGTGAAAGTAAGTCGAGTGACTTACTGGTACGTTGGGGCCAGCTCTGGCTTCCAGAAGGGGCTGGGTCTAGGGCAGAAGGGGCAGGGCTGAGGGGGGTCAGAGACAGCCCCAGCCAACCCTGTAAGGTAAGTGCCCCCCCTTCTCCTCCTCCTGTCTGGGATGCAAAGTGTGAAGTGGTTAGATCAGGGGATTTGGAGGTGGAACACATGGTTCTATTCCTGGCTCTGCTATTGACAGAGTCTGCACTTGAGCAGGTCACTGCCTCGCTCTGTGCCTCAGTTTCCTCCTCTCTAAGATGGGGGGATAGCACTTACCTTACAGGAAGGAGAGAAGCTTCTTTAATACTTGCAGAGTGCTCTGAGAGTCTCAGATGAAGGTGCAATAGACATGCAGAGGCATCTGGCTAGCTGAGACCCATCCCTGAGATGGGGCCCTCTGGGGCAAGACCTGTGCAAAGGCATTATTGGGGCTCAGACTGGCCCGTGTCCCCAGGTAGGGAGGAGTGGTTGTTGTACTGACACTGCACACAGCTATTTCCTGATGCTCAGTGAAATTTGCTCTGCAGGGAGACGCCTATCCGGAGCTGAGGAAGAATACAGACCAGGTGAGCAGCATGGAATCTGCTGGAGAGCAGCAGTAACCTGTCGTGGGAATCATTACCAGCCTGCATCTGGGGGCTCCCATAAGCCCCCTCTTTAATTATCCCTGAGTTCTTGGAAGTGCTGCACAGCAGCCCCTAGCATGCTATCAAAGTGGAGTGGGGGCGGGGGATTCACCTCTTTGGGATGTGGACAGATGAGTTTGCCCTACTCCCAGCATAGTCATGTTCTCGGAGGGAGGGGACAGGGCACAGATATACAGAGAATGGACAAAGGTACTGCATGCAGAGTTGGGAACTAGCAGGGGCATGTTGTGGACTCCCCTATGGACGCTGACTGTGGATCTTGAAGGGATCTCTCCTGTGCCAAGATTGGCTGGTTGGTGCCCAATGAAGCAGGGCAGTCCCTGTGACTACAGAACTAAGGTAAAGCCCAGGCCTTAGTTGGGCCATGTGCCCATGGGCCTGGTTCCCCTCCCAGCACAGGTACCCTTTGCTCCTCCTGTGGTCATTATTTATGTAGCTAAAGAGGGAACTAGACGCTTGGGAATCCTGAGGGCAGCTGTTTTACAAGCTTCCTCCCTGCCCAGCTCTGCTGATGCCCCTCAATCCTGACCAGCAGCGTGCCCTGCTGTTCTAGCCCTGGGCACCTCATGCAGAATTTTCATTGGGTTGCAAATGTGGTTTCTCTCAACAGGCAGCTGCCTCAGGTAACTATTTCCTTGTAGCAAGTCATGAGCCCACAGCTGAGGTATAGGAGGTGCACAGTGATAGCAAATGCAGGGGCCCTCCTTTGGCACCCACTTTTCCCGTCCCCAGCCATGTGGAGGGCTGAGTTCTGGTGGCTGGGCTGAGCTGAGTGGTGGCCCTCGCCCACAGGGAAGGTGGCTGAATCTGCTCCTCCTCTTCCTGCAGATTATGAATGTTATCCATGACAACGAGGCTGCATTTCTCTCCTCCCTCCTGCGGGGGCGGCGTATCATTGACAGGACTCTGCAGCAGATGGGTCCCTCCAAGCTCTTCCCAGGTGAGTCCCTCCTTGATTTCCACTGGGAAGGGGAGGGCAGCCTGGGGGAGGAGCAGCAGCTGGCGTCTGCCAGTGGTTAAGGGTGGCTTGGACCCTTGTTGCCAGGGTGTCTCAGGTGAGGGCTGGGCTGTGTTGGGCCCTTTGGGCTAAGGGGGAGAGAGCCTTGGAAGCAGGCACCCTCCCCACAGCTGGTGGCCTGGTGTTCCTGTCTTTGTGCTGAACGCTAGGCAGTATTAGGCTACAAGTGCACACTGAATGACCCCTCCTTCCCTTCTGCCCCAGACAAAGAATCAGTTCCTGCCAACTTCCAAATCAAAGCTACAATGGATGCCTGCCTACCTGCTGCCCTGCCATGGGGTAATACAGCACCAGCCCCATGCTCTGAGCCGGTACTGCCGACCAGGTGCTGCTGCCCCATCACTGGCACTCCCCATCTCCCAAACACTTCTGAGATGACTACCTCAATGCTTTGCTCACCAGAGCAAACAGGCACTTGTCACTGCTAAAGGGGCTCCTTTGGTTCGTAGGTGCTGCAGTGACCGGCTCTGAACAAATACAAAGGTAGAACAGCTAGCACAGTACCTGCATGGAGGACCGTGTTTGGGTGTGATAGGGAGAGTGTGGCTTAACCCTTTCCTGCGTGAGCAGATTTGAACCAACTTCTCCCCACCTGCTCACTAATCTGTGATTCAGTACCTGGTAGCGTAAGGCAATGGGAGAGTTCCAGCTGACACCCTTGTATGACTCAGGAGCTTGCAGGACTGTGTGCTGATACGGCTCACTCTACCTGTGTTTGGAACACCCTGCCACTGTGCTGAGACCTTCCTACGTGCGCATGCTCTGTTGAGCTCTTGAATGTACCTAATGAGACAGAGGAAAGATGCACCACGTTGTCTTGCTCATGGGAGCAAACGCTTTCAAACCTATATGGAAACATCTGTGCTCACAGTCCCAAGGGAGCTGAGGGCTGGAATCCCTGTGATTTTAGAGCACTGCTGATGGGATGTAATGGGCAGCCAGTCCTTGTTGGCTGCACAGATTGGGGGGGATCCTGAGGATCTCATTAGGGATGTGAAGACACCCCCACACCCTACCCCCAGAAAAAGCAAGAGATTCCCTCCATGATTCTGCTGTGTGTTCTCTCCGTGGCCACCTAAAGTTTGTGTTCTCATTCTTGTCTCTCTGCAGGGGAGGTAGCCTGGTCTCTCTATGGAAACTTGGGATTCCCCCTAGATTTGATTGGCTTGATGATTGAAGAAAAGGGGATCCAAATGGACTGGGCAGCTTTGGACCAGCTAGCCCAGGAAAATGCTAAGGTAGGATACAAAACCCTGCCTCCAATGCAAGCCTCCATCACTGTGGCTAATGTCCTATTCTTTCTGGTCAGGGTTCCCATGTGTACTTTAAATCCACTGCAGGTGCTCCCCATCACCTCTGTATTCCATCAAAATCATGGAATGCCTTTCTCCTCTAGCTCAGGGGTATGGAGCAGTGTCCCCCAGGGATCTTCACCTGGATTAATGCTGTTAAACATACTCATAAATAATCTGGAAACAGGGGTAAACAGCAAGGTGGCAAAGCTTGCAGATCATATGAAATTACTCAAGATAGTTAAGTCGAAAGCAGACTGTGAAGAGTTACAAAGGGATCTCTAACTGGGTGACTGGGCAACAAAATGGAGACGAAATTTAATGTTGATAAGTGCTAAGTAATGCACATTGGAAAATATAATCCCAACTATACGTACAAAATGATGGGGTCTAAATTAGCTGTTAGCACTCAAGAAAGAGATCTTGGAGTCATTGTGGATAGTTCTCTGAAAACATCCATTCAATGTGCAGCATCAGTCAAAAAAGCTAACAATGTTGGGAATCATTAGGAAAGGGATAGATAATAAGACAGGAAATATCATATTGCCTTTATATAAATCCACGGTATGCCCACATCTTGAATACTGCGTGCAGTTCTGGTCTCCCCATCTCAAAAAGGATACATTAGAAATAAAAAGGGTAGAGAGAAGGACAACGAAAAATGATTAAGGGGGTGGAAAAGCTTCCATATGAGGAGAGATTAAAAAGACTAGGATGATTCATCTTAGAAAAGAGATGACTAAGGACAGACATGATAGAGGTCTATAAAATCATGACTGGTGTGGAGAAAGTGAATAGGGAAGTGTTAATTACCCCTTCATATAACACAAGAAGCAGGGGTCATCCAATGAAATTAACAGGCAGCAGTTTTAAAACAAGCAAAAGGAAGTACCTCACACAAACCACAGTCAACCTGTGGAACTCATTGCCAGGGGGTGTTTTGGATTCCAAAACTAACTGGATTCAAAAGAGAATTGGGTAAGTCCATGCAGGATAGGTTCATCAATGGCTCTTAGCCAAGATGGTCAGGCATACAACTCCATGCTCTGGGTGTCCCTAGGCCTCTGACGGCCAGATTCTGGGACTGGACAATGGGGGATGGATCATTTGATTGTCCTGTTCTATTCATTCCTTTTGAAGCATGTGGCAATGGCCTCTTTCGGAAGACAAGATACTGGCCTAGATGGACCATTGGTCTGGGACAGTATGGCCGTTCTTATGAATCCAGCTTGGGTCAGTAGTGACTGAACACTGTAAACCCTCTGACAGCTATTTGGCTGGTGACTTTTTCAAGCCAGTTTCTAGTGGACACATTACAAAAGCCATCATCACAGCTGCACTGAGGTCAGCAGAGAGGGCAAGCATTGAATGGGTCGTGAAGAATTAACACCCCTCAGTACCAGAGGTGGAGTTTATCCAGGGCAGGAAAGTGGCCCACTGATGGGGCAGCATGGAGGGATTGTGGTGCGGTTTGTATTGCGACCCCCCACCTCCCATGCTGTGGATAAATCAAGGCTTTCAGCCGCAGGGGTGTGTATGCAGCACTACGGTATGCAGGGAAAGCATACATTAGCTGCTGCTTGTGACTCCCCTGGGGGATGGTGCAGGGTAGTGCAGCAGTGCTGAGTGTCTGGTGGGGGCCCCAGGTGTAGTAGCAGCCTGGGATTAATTGCTTCCTGAGGCAGCACAGATTTGACTGTGTTACAGGGATGATCTACTGCCACAAAGTCAAAGGCCACAGTCACTAACCTTATGGAAAAAGAAAAGGAGTACTTGTGGCACCTTAGAGACTAACCAATTTATTTGAGCATAAGCTTTCCTGAGCTACAGCTGAAGTGAGCTGTAGCTCAGGAAAAGCTTATGCTCAAATAAATTGGTTAGTCTCTAAGGTGCCACAAGTCCTCCTTTTCTTTTTGCGAATACAGACTAACACGGCTGCTACTCTGAAACCTAACCTTATGGAGCAGGTGCTCCTAGGGTGCCCCCAAATCAAACTTTGTCTTCACTCTTGTATAGCGGAAAGCTCAGACCCAGCAGGCAGAACAACTGGAGGGCTCCGGCGTGCGATTGGATGTGCATTCGCTGGCTCAGCTGCAGAGGGACGGTGTGCCTGCTACTGATGACTCGCCGAAATACGCCTACACACTCGGGCAAGACGGGAGATATGGTATGAGCTGAGGCATGGCCCAAAGAGCCTGCGGGGGGTGGGGGGAGGTAGTGTCCAATTCATAGCCTGGGAACCTCTTAGGGATGGATCTAACCAGCTAACCACCACACCTACAAGGGGAATTATGATCTCAGGCATATTGGAGAGTGCTCTGTACAGAATGTAAACTCGTGTATTATCTCCCTCTTCAGCCTATGGCCAAGAGCAGGAAGCAGGTCATATGCGTGTCCACTGAACACATGCTCGCAATAAGGTTCTGTGATGGTTGCTGAGCTGGGAGTTAAAGACTGCTGTTACCCGGTGGTGTAGATGAGTTGTATTAGATGTGGTGTCCATTGGAGATGGGGGTTCAGTGTGCTGGCAGTTAGCCTGTCTGCAGGAGTGAGTACTGGGATGTGTGGGTGCTAGGTATGGTAAACATACCGTAGCTAGGGAGGTCCATGCTATTAAGGGTTCAGATGGGTAGGTTCTTTCCTTAAACCTCTGGTTTTTTACATTTGTGGCAGAATAGGAGGAATAGTGTTCACCCTAAGAACCTCAGTATCTGCCATTACAGCAGCTGGCCACTAGATGCCCCTGCTACTTTACACATAGTTTAATACAGTTTTGGAAGCCTTGGCCCTATTGAAGGAATGTGAAGCTGAGCTGTTGCTGGTCATAAGTTGGACAGTAGTTCTCAGGCTCCTGCTGAGAATCCCTGGGCAGGAATCTGAGCTGCAGCCCTGTCCCAGTTTGGGGCTTGGTTAATGAGACACATCATCATGAGAGGTTTCAGAGTAACAGCCGTGTTAGCCTGTATCCGCAAAAAGAACAGGAGTACTTGTGGCACCTTAGAGACTAACCAATTTATTTGAGCATAAGCTTTCGTGAGCTATAGCTCACTTCATCGGATGCATGTGATCATCATGAGACTGACCCTGGCTGTGTTAGGAGTGCGCCTCATCCCGACCTGGCCCATTTGCTGAGCCCATGTCTCCGTTAATAAGCGTCCTTTGCCAGTTCAGGTGGTTTGTCAGAGGGTTTTGTCAGAATTAACTCCAGTCCCTCAGTTGTCCCTCGCTTGAGTCCTATCCCCAGACACCCCCCTAACTGGAGCTGTGGTGGTGCTTTTCACTCGAGTTGGCTGGCGCATGAGGGGGTATAGACTAAAGCTCCAATGAGAACAAATCATCAGCCACTAACGCAACCACCGCATGGTGTGGACGCAAGCTAGCTCCACTCAGGTGCTGCTAGTCCTTCAGTGCCTTCCCACAATTCCCCCTGCGTGCCCAGAAAAGACAAACAAGTTCTCCCACGCTGAGAGAGAATTTACCAAGCAGTTCAGCAGTCTTAGGTTATGTCTACGCTACAACCGCTAGAGGCACGAAACTACGGCGCTGCAGGTGTGCTGCTGTAGCTCTGTAGCGTAGACCCTTCCTACATCGACAGGAGGGGTTTTCCCATCGATGCAGTTACTCCACTCCTTTGAGAGATGGCAGTTAAGTCGACAGAAGAATTCTTCCACCAACCTAGCTGCGTCTGCACCCAGGGTTAGGTCAGTCTAACTATGGCACAACGATTTCCCCAACCCTGAGCAACTCCTAGGTCGATCTAATTTTGAAGCACGGACCAGGTCTTCGTGCCAGACGCTAAGTGGCGCTGCGCTCCTCACGCACTCAATGAGTGCAGCGCCGGTGAGCACACAGCAGCTCCAGTGTTGTGTTGCAATGTGGCTGCTCTCACTCAAGCTAGGCCAACGCGAGAGAAGTCGCTCTCAAGTAGATCACTTGAGTCACCTCGGCGGTGAGATGAGCCTTAATGTCTCTGGTTCGCTGGTGTGAAGAGCTGCCTGTCTATCTCTCAGCCTCTTCCACTGACAGACTGGAGCTTTCTCCTAAAGTGGACCCAAATGTGCTCAGCCTGCTGGTGGCCCCTAGAGTGCTTAGCCAGTCACATGGTGCTGGCTCCTTATTTCCAGCTGCTACCTCACTGATAAAGAAGCTAGAAACCTCCCAATGCCCTCTTCCTGTGGCTTTTCGGTGACCGTGATTGCTGTAGGTGCCACACAGAGTAGGTGTTCCATACAGCCATGAGTGGGAGAGGTTGCACCTGAGACATTCCCCCTGTTAATATGGGGCCTATACGGTGAAGAAGTTGGAGACTCCCCTCCAGAAACTTTCCCTTCCTTAATATCCGCCCCTGACCCTTTGCCAACATCTCAGCTGCTGAGGAACATTGGGGCCTTGCTCTTCATCCCTGCAAGTCAGCTTGCCCCATTGCGGCAGCTCTTTGTACGTCTGCGAACATTTTCCCTGTGGTGCTCACTTCTCACTCCCTCACTCTCACTACCTGAAGTGTGTAATTTTTCTGAGCATAGTTTTTTTTCTGGTACTTCAAAAAGGATGAAGCTGAATCGAGTGTGCACACCTCTTGGAAATGGTTTTGAAGCCTAGTTAGTGTTTTCATTCAGTGGATTGACACGGCCAGAGTCTCACATGAGTGTGGGTTAGTGATGATGGAATTTGTTGCTGCTGCCTAGCAGGGACTCCACATAACCCAGGGTCTATCGTTGGAGACGAAGTAACCTTGGCTAACCTAGCATTGGTGACTGAGTGCTCTATCTCAGCTGGTGCAAGGTGCAGTTTGTCCAGTCCATTTTAACCTCGTCCCTCTGCCCCCTGGCCAGCTACATGCGATTGTTGTTTTGCAGTCACTTCAAACCGCACCCTCTTGTGGGCCATAGATGCTCGGCATCCAGGGAGCATCCTAGACTCGTAATTTGGGGGAGGAGTGCACAGTGTGATCCCATAGCCAAACAGGCCTGTACTACTTAAATAAGATAACCACCCAATGCACGACACTAGATTGAGGGATGGAAAGGAGTTGTCAATGCAGTTGAGATTGCAGATGGACAGGCCAGGAAATTCCGTGGGGGTTCCCACATTACGTATGATGTTAATGGCCTATTAGGTGTATTAACACCATCTGCATAATGCACAGGAAAAATATACATGTCCTGCAGCTGCAGGAGGGCTAGCTGTGAATTTCTTGCGTTTTGTGCCTGGAGTTTGCATTCAGTACCGAAGCAGCTATCTTAATTAAAGCAGAATGGTGACCAAGCTGGCACTTAATCAAATCGTGCTTAGGGCTGGCCCCCTGGGGGCTCATTGCCTGTTAACAGATTTGGGCTTTTGGAGCAGGAGATTCCAAGCTCTGTCCCCTCTGTGGCTGTGAAATCCCATGTGGTCTCGGGAGGCAGCAGAGTGAAAGCTGTAAAGTGCTAGGTTTTGTTACAAAATAATCACAAATCTTTCCTACCTTTTTGTCAGTGTCTCGGCTCCAGCTCTCTTCCCACAGAGTGAAGTGCCTGGTTTTAAAATACCGTGAATGCTGCCAGGGTTCTGAGATTAACTGAAGCTTCCTCCTCTTGCACAGACTCTGCACTCTATGTGGGGTGGAAGGGCTCTGGGGTGACCTGGTGGGCCAGTCAAAACCCCCTGTGCTTTCAAGGGAAGGCAGAGAAGTGGGAGGCTGATGCACGTTGCTGACTTGTGCTTATCCTTTGCAGCATTTAGCCCGTGCCAGGCCACCGTCTTGATGCTGTACAAAGATCAGTCCCTTCAGAAGGAGGTTGGGGCAGGCCAGCGCTGCGGAGTCCTCCTGGACAGGACCAGCTTCTATGCAGAACAGGGAGGGCAGGCACATGATCGGGGCTACCTGGTGCGTCTGGGACAACAGGTGAGCCTGTCTTCTGCCTGCGACTGGAATTACTGTCAGGTCAGGCATGACCTTCCTGAAGCTGTGATCCCTCTCCGCTGTACTAGGCTGCTGGCTGGAGTCCTCAGGCTTGTCATCTTCAGGCTCTTCCTCTTCTCCCAGCTGCGTGCTGAGCTGGGCACTAGCTCTGGGCAGTGCTTGGGGTCTGGGAAAAGCCCAATGACTCAGAGCGGAGATCATTTCGGGGAGCTGACAGGCTCATCTGGCTATCTCTCTAGCCCTTGTCATTCCATTCCCCTGTTTTGTAGCACAAAGTGCTGGGGGTGACTGTAGACCCTTCCTCCTTCACATCCCTTTCCTTCCAACACGCTCCCTTCTATCTCAACTGGGCCAGGAACATGGAGAAGTTGATCAGTCATCAAAAGGTCCTTGGACTGAGCAACTTCTGCATGGCCTGCCCTAGAGACCTTTATGTGGTGCCCAGCCTGAGGCTCACTCTCTCCCGTTCCCTTCTCTCCCTCCCAAAGGCACTGGGGAGAATTGTCCACCACCACCACCTCCAAAGCATGTTGCTTCAGCCTTATAAAGGAGTTCAAAGGGAAGGAAACTGAAGCCTCTTTGGGGAATTGTAATGCAAAAGCAGAATCTACTGTAGTCATATGGAGTTGGGCTGGATACAGTACCTTAGGTTCAGCCATGCAGTGGCATAGCTCCTTTTCCTATCCCCTCAGCCTTGAGAATCACCCCCATGTCATAGATGCTACCCTTCCATCCCAGGAAAACTAGCTGGGATTCCTCTACAGCAGTGGTCCCCAAACTTTTCAGGGTCGCACCTCCCCCTTAGCCCTGTCCGGCCCCCTGGAGCCACGTGCAGACGGGTAAGGGGGCTAGGGCCAGGAACGGAGCTGTGGCCAGGGGCCGGGAACAGGGCTGGAGTAGAACTGGGAGCAGAGTGGGGCTGGATGACACTCCATCCCTACCACCCGTGGGGGCTGACCTGGGCCCCACCACACCCCTCTCCCCCACCCTGAATGTTCCGGGACATGCCCCACAGTGTGGGGATCTCTGCTCTACAGAACTCATCAGTGCTACTCCTTCATAAGCCAAAGGGGGTGCTATTGAGTAACATGAATTACTGTATGTCCTACCCTTTATCCAGCCCAATGATCTGAAAGCCATCCCTGTGTGTGAAGTGAGCTAGTGGCTTCAGTCCAGTTCCTAAGGGACAAGTGGCCATGTCTCAGAACATCAGGCTCACAGCTGGCATTGGCTCCCTGCTTGCTGGCAGCCTCAGCAGCGACACGTGGAAACATAGGGCCGTAGAGAGGGAACTCCTGGGCAGGGCTGAAGCATGCTGGTGGTGAGGATGGGATGGTGTTTTCAGGACACTTGCCCTGCCTCTTCCTATCCTGTACCCATTCTGGGGATAGACGGGGGATTCCAGTCTCCAGGGAAGTCAGGCAGCCACCTTTCACAAGCCATTGAACTCCCCTAAAATCACTGTGCGGCCAAGGAGTTGAGCGTCTGTGCTAACCACTCCTCTCTCTCTCTGCTTGGAGGATGTGCTCTTCCCGGTGGAGTCGGTTCAGCTGTCTGGTGGCTACGTGATCCATGAGGTCACAGCCCCCGAGACCCTGCAGGCTGGGGACCAAGTGCAACTCTTTGTGGATGAGGTAAGGACTTACAGCTCTTAACGCTTTCTTGGCCTTGCTGCTAGGGGGCGGTGTGTGGCACTTAGCAACTGAGAGCAAAGAGCTGCCGCTCAAAGGGACTTTTGTCTGACTCCCATCCTCCTGAGGTTTTGGGTTAGGACATTTCTCCTCATGTAATGGTGTGTGGAGGGGTGCTCCCTATGGGTCCTGTCTGCCATCCCCTAAAGGGGGATGGGACCCTGTCCTGCAGAATCTAGCCTAGCACTGGTGTCCGCACAGCACTGATCAGACGAATGGGAGGAGTCAACTGGAGTCAGATCATGAGGAGGGTGCTTGGACTGTCGCATCTACCTAGTGTGTGTGAAATACCCCCTTTGCGCACACACTAATGCTTCTCTTCCCCCTGTCCTCTCCTAGCCCCTATATGGGTGCAGGGTCCCCACATGGACTCTGTCACACTTAGGATATACTGACACGCTCTCCTCCCCTCTCACTAGTAGAATTGTGAGGTCCTCCTGCTTGACCTGCGGCGTGTCTGTGGTTTCAGGTTCAGCGGCTGGCCTGCATGGTGAACCACACCGCCACTCATCTGCTGAGCTTTGCACTCCGCCATGTCCTAGGAGATCAGACAGAACAGCGAGGGTCCCACGTGACTGCTGATCAGCTGCGATTCGACTTCAGTACGCAGGTGATGGGGATCCCAAAGCACCCCACTCTGGAAGGGTCCCTGCTGGTCCCTGAGGATCAGGGGAACATCCCTTGTCTTTATAAACCACCCTCTCGATTCCCCTCTCCTGCCTGTTGCCATGAGAACTAAACACTCGAGCCCTTCATCTGTTTCAGCCATTGCTGAGTGTCTCGTAGGGCTGTGCTTTAGCTGTGCTTCACATTCTCTTGTGATAGGATTGTCCCATATGAGTCAAGCCAGGCTTTGGCTGGCTAGAGGAAACTATGTGCTCAAACGAATCTCCTGAAGTAACCTGAGCCCTGCTCTGACTAGGGCCCAGGGTGACCTCTGTGGGGGAAAGGGTGGGTGGGTTTGGAGGTACAGAGGATTGGCAGGGGGGTCCTGGGGTGATAGTGATGGGATCTCACAGACTTAGGCTTGCTGACTTGATTATAGTATCTGCTGGGGCATGCTTTAGGAGGTACATGGTGTCAATACCTTAGTGCTCCGAGGGGGTCCTTTCTCAGGAAAGGGGGAGGTGTACAAATGGGTTACTCAGGCTTTCGGGGGCAGATGAGGAAACTCAGTGAGTTTATCCTTAGCATGTGGGTAGTCTCTCACTTGAAGGACTTTACTAACATTGTTGGATTGATTCTGGCCTGTTTCACGGAGTGGGGAAGGAAGGGTCATGATGATCGTGACCCCCATTTACACGTGGGGAAAACCAGGCACAGAGAGGAAGCATTTTATTCAAGATCTGACAGGGAACTGGGAATAGAACCCAGGAGTCCTGGCACTGAGCCTTCCTTCTCTAACACCACTTCCTCCTTTCAGAGTAACAGCCGTGTTAGTCTGTATTCGCAAAAAGAAAAGGAGTACTTGTGGCACCTTAGAGACTAACCAATTTATTTGAGCATAAGCTTTTGTGAGCTACAGCTCACTTCCTCCTTTGTGACACGTGATACTGTGCCCCTCAGGGGATGTTTCCTGATGGTGGATAATCTCCTCTCCCAGGCCCCTGTGACCACGCAGCAGCTGCAGGAAGTAGAAAGTGTGATTCAGGAAGTGGTTGACCAGAATGAAATTGTCTATATGGCAGAAGCCCCCCTGGCACTGGCAGGTGGCATTCAGGGACTCCGGACCATGGATGAGGTACAGTAGAAGGGCATGTAATAAGCCCAGAAGCCTCAGCAGAGGGCAGCTTCCAACAAGGGTTATGAGGGTCATAAGAGACATACAATGATGGAGTCCCCAACCGGGGAATCTCCATCTAGAGGATGGAAAGGGAAGTGTGCGCTAGAGAGGGGTGAATGAAGGTATGTTCCTGGGGGTGCCCAGGCAGCCTCAGGTCTGGTGATGTGGAGGCTGCATGCTACAGGGAGGTGGGTATGGAGCTGCAGTGTGGTCCCACTAATCTGCTCTCTCAATTGTTCTTTCTGAACAGCAAACCCTCCATGTGTCAGCTTGTGGGAGGAGCAGTGCTGCTGTCTGCCGCTGGATCTGCTGTCTCTGGGTGGGGGGTGCAGCGGCTGTGACCTGAGGCACTGACTGGTTCTGTGACACCGCATGAATCCTCTTGTTTGTTTACAGCTGATCTTTCTCCTCTCAGGTGTATCCAGATCCGGTGAGGGTGGTATCGGTAGGTGTCCCCGTAGAAAGTGTACTGACCCCCAACTCTCAGGCTGCGATGCAGACTTCTGTGGAGCTGTGCTGTGGGACGTAAGTGCTCTTCTCTAGGGTCAGAAGAGAGCTTTGTGGGAGCACGGCACATACTCCTGGCTTGTCGTCCCATCAAGATCCAAAGGCAGGGCTTGACTGAGGGTCTCTAAACAGTCTGTACCTAGACTGTAGGGGGAGGCTATGTTGATCAAGACAGAGGAAGCTGAAAGCAAAACCTGGCTCCCTGTTGGAAAGCTGAGACTGAATCTAGACAATGGGCACATGCTGATATATCCCCTCCGCCCACCTCACAGGCACTTATTGCAGACAGGAGCTGTGCAGGATCTGACCATCACCTCCGAGCATCAGCTGGTTAAAGGGATCAGTCGCATCATTGCAGTGACTGGGGAGCAAGCCAAGCAGGTGAGACAAGGGAGGCTGAGATTTCCCTGGTTTGATGGCACTGAAACTGGGGACTGCTGTATGCTCCTCCCGACCCCCCGCCCCAGCTTTGCTGATGCCCCTCAGGCCTGGCCTGCAGCAACCTCTTACCTCCCAGTCTTGTTCCTCCCACCCCCAACATGCATACAGCTCTGCCATTGCACTTCACCAGTGATCTGTAGCCCCCTTTATTTCCAGTCCTGGGCTCCCCACACATGGCTCTGCCCATGCCCCTCACTCCTGGTCGGCAATACCACTTCTGAGGTGATAATTCAGCACTGAATAGCAGGAAACCTTTAACCTCTCTTCACAGGTGGGATTTAAACCCAGGTCTCAGATAGGAGTCTAATGAATTGATCCTCTCTGCCCTAGTTTCATTTTATATCACAGTAGCTTTTAGCTGCTGACCTCTTGTGCTTATGGGGCTCTGGTCTCAGTCTAGCAATTTTTACTTCTTAGCTTTGATCTTTGACTCCTGCTCAGCAGTGATCCTGGCTGGCGAGTCCGTGTGCAGAGCAATTGACCTAGTTACTCTGTGCGTGAGAAGCCCCGATGTGCTTGAGCACCTGGAAGTTAGGGACTTGGCATCCCTTCCCGTCTCCTCTCATGCAGCAATACAAGGAGAGTGCGGCCGTCAGGAAATTACGTTTCTTCTTGGTGAAACTGCAACCCTTTACCCACCCCAGCAGATCTGTTGCTGTCTGATTCTCCCCTGTGCATTCTCAACAAGCATCCTCCTGCCGTGAAGGAGTGAAGGCTGCGAGGCGTGCTTGCCCTGCTTGCTAGGAGCGCTGACATGAAGCCACCTCTGCAGCTTCATGTCAGTGGTTCACATTCACCCGCAGGTTGCTGTTGTGTTTGGTACCAAGGTGAGCGGCTTGCAATCAGGGCTGTGCATGTTAATCAGCCTGTGGATGCCAAAGAGCGGCACAAAGCCAAGGGAACGTAGCCAGGCTGGGCAAAGCACTGTCCCTGCTCTGTGCCGGCCCTCCGGTTACACCCACAGCTCTCCAGGGGCAAAATCCGTGGCTTCCTCCTCAGCTCAGGATGGGCACAGATCCCTGCGGGAATCTGTTTCATTCCTCCTGAGTGTTAGATGGAGGCACCGCAGGGAGAGGATACTCCAAGCTGGGAGAGTAAAGGATGTCATCAGGAAAAAAAAAAGTCCTGCCAATAGAGATCTGTGAGCCCTACCACTTGGGATTAACACTAGACGAGGCAATGCAAGTAGCAAATGCACCATGCAATCCTATATTGGCTCCCAGGGGGGTGTGCTAGAAGAGTTAACAGGTCTCCAACCCCCACAGTGCACCTTTTAGTGAAAAACAGCCCAAATGATGGGGCTCAGAGCTTCTCCAGCCAGAGCCCTTCATGTCACTGTCAAACGTTTAAACACGCTGTGAAGTGTTTGTTAAAGGGCCTGTCCTGTGGGTGGCTTGGTCCCCTACAACTGGCCTGTTTATCAACGGCTATAAATCTATGGCAAGGATCGTCTTCCAGACCCTCGATATTTCAGACACTCACCTATTTATCACTAATAAAACCCCAAACAAGAGCCGCTTGGTGACAGAGCACAAACCTTTACAGCACCCACTTTCTAGCTATCTTCCTCTTGGAATTTTGAAGGGTTGATGCCTGCGATTTCACCCATGCCCTACCCTGCTCCTTCCCATCCCTGCTGAGTGTCTCTCTCCTGAAGGGCTGTTTCTGTTGCTCTCCTAGGCCCGGGAAGTAGGCCAGTCCTTGGCTAAAGAAGTGGACTCGCTCTCTGCATGGGTGAAACAGGGAAGCTCTTCCCTTCCCGAGGTGCAGAGCCTCTCCAAGGAGGTGGGCCGCCTGACTGAAGTGAGTACTGCGTTCCTTATGCAGAAGCATCCCACCAGGCATTTGAAATGCATGTCTCTCTCCACCACTGGGTTCCAATCTCACCCAGGTCAGCAGCAGCAGAAAGCTGCTGCCACCTGATGACCTGTTTGGTGGCTGACATGAAAGGAGTTGGAGAGGTCTCAGCCCACTTCCAAGTGTGTGTATGGCAGGAAATCCTGTTGTCACGGAACGTGGGAGGAGGTGGCAGCGATGGGAAAGCTGGTCTAGCTTTGGAGATCATTAAATCACTTTCCTCCTTGGCACCCACTTAGGTTTTCCCCTTGGCACACCGTTGGGTGGGTGGGTGGATGTTTTTAAGCAGCTGCTTGTTTTTCAGGAGGTGGGCAGCACTGCGATACCCCAGTGGCAGAGAAGGGAACTTCAGGCCATTCTCAAAGCCCTGCAGAGAGCAGCAAACACAGCGATTAGAAAATTGGAAATCAGTCAGGTAAGGGCGCAGCAGCAAGATCTCTGGCAGCTTTTCAGCCTGCTGAAGGCCACCAGATTGTTCTCCACTGAATGGGCAGATTCTCTCAGCTTGATCTTCCCCTACACAAGAACCACAGCTGTTCTGTTCATCAGAGTGACCACTCCAAGAAATCAGATCCCTGGGAATGCGGGGGAAGGGGAGGCCATTTCCAGCTGTGTAGGAGAAGTTCATGTTGCACTTTTAGTTGCTGATTCACCTAACCTACACAGCAAGTCATCCATTTTGGTTTAAATGTTGAAACTAACCTTTCACCAGGGGCAAGCTCCCTGCACTGCGAAGATGGGGAAACAACATGTAAGTGCTTTCTCACAACCCCCGCCCCACTGAGAGGCAGGTAAACATTATCCCCAGTGTTACAGGCAGCGACACTGAGAGACAGAACTACGAAATGACTTCCCCAGGCTACAGTGGCAGAGCACGGACTAGACACTGGAACTTCCTCCCAGCCCCATGCTTATTGCTCTTGCTCGTGCAGCATTCAGCAGCAGTCTGTGTTTTGTTCGCTAATCTGATTGTATTTGACACATCAGGAATGGTGGTTGGTCAATGAGTCTTCTCTGCAACTAGTTCTGGGAACTGGAGTCTTTTCAGAACACTAGTGCTAACCACTTGGTTGCTGCAAAACATACCTGGGACGTCAGACTGAACTTCCCTCTCCCCTGGGGGGCCCCCCCAGGACATGGCTGAGGCGTGTGGGCAGGGGTGGCTTGCATAGTCTGTTCAGTGGGTAAATAGGGGACTTCAGTATGCAGATCTTAGTCTGGCCCCTGCATGGCATTCGACGGCTCCCCACCCCATGACCACATTCCCTTCCCCTGTGACAGGGCTGGATGTCCACTCCATCCTCCCAATGTCATCGGTGATCTCCCACAGTGCTGTGTGTTTCCTCCTCCAGGCTGCAGAGAAGGCGCAAGGCCTGCTGGAGAGGCATTCCAAGCAGCCAGTCATCATCGATACCATCCCGGCCGACTCGCTCTCAGTGAGTGTGTGTGTGTGATCTCTCCGTGCAGTTGCCTTCTCCCCTAGCGCAGGGGAAGTCAGTAGGGTTAGGCTCTGGAGCCCAATGGAGCTGACACAGCTGGCTAGGGCTGGGGCAGGTGAATTGAGGCACAAGGGAGCTGTCGCAGTGGTTGGAGCAGTTTGGGGGTGAGGTGGCAGAATTGCCAGAGAGCAGAGTAAGCTGAGCTGCTCTGCCGCCCAGCACGCTGGCGGTGCAGTAACCTCCTGCTCTAGTATTTCATCGGCTTAGTCATCTGCTCAGGAGTCTTCCCCTCCCTTCCTGACACTGCCCCTCCATGCCTCTCCTAGATCCTGATGAAGGTGGTGAACCAGCTTTGTGACAAGTCTCCTGGGGCTTCAGTGTTGCTGCTCAGTCCCCAGGCATCCGGCGAGGTGCTCTGTGCCTGTCAGGTGTCCAAGGTACGCAGGCTCGTGCTGCAGCTGGGAATCTCTACCTGCAAAGGGTTAATGGCCTCTCTGTGTTCTGTTGGGGGGGGAGCTCGTAGCCCAGAGTGTGGGCAGTAACCGCCTCTGCCCCGTTTGGGAGACAGGCCCTTGGCTGCAGCACGCACCGTCCAGCAAGAACTATATGGGATTGCCCCTTGCAGCCGGTCAGTGCTGCTGCTTAGTCATCTGGAGGAGTCAATGATGAGACACCATCTGCCCAGGCTGAGTCTGGTGTGGCCCTGGAGCTTCCAGACTCTGCTGGCCTGGAGAGGGAGGAGTCAGGAAAGAGGCCCACGTCTGCCATGGGGCAGGGCAGAGCACAAACTGCTGGGCCATTGGGCTCAGCTTCCACAGTATCGCCAGTCCCTACCAGCTCAGGGAGCAAGGACCCAAAGCTGCCTGCGTGCTGCGAAAGGGTCCTATGTGCCCTCTTGGACCCTTCTTTCCCCATCCAGGCTGGGGTGCCTCCTGGCCCACAGACAGGCTAACCTCTCTCCTCATGTCTCTCCCCAGAGTGCCCTGCCCACATTTTCTGCTGCGGACTGGGCCCTGGCTGTCTGTACTCACATGGGAGGCAATGCAGGGGGCTCTGGCATTGTAGCCAAGGGTACTGGGAACACCAAGGACCTTCAGGGAGCCCTGACTGCTGCACTGGAGTTTGCCCGGACTAGACTCTGAAGTAAGGAAGATTCCTTGTTTTGTGGGGTCAGTTGGAGCCAGCAGAGCTCCCAGCCTCCTGTCTCAGGGATGCTGCCACAGAGCTGTCCCTTTGCTGCACCATGTTTCAGCCTCCAACGAGCCCTGCGTCTTGAGTGGCTTAGCAGCTCCCATTGCTGAACGCTGCTGCCAAGCACTGTGAATCATGGATATCTGGCTTCCTGCCACCGGGGGTCAACATAGGAATAGGGGGCAGAGTCGGGCCGACCATCCTGCCCCAAAGGACTGTCTGGAGGAGGCAGCTGACTCTCTGCTTCTGGCCGTCTAGTCTGGATGCATGGGGATTGTCACAGAAGGAGCCAGTTTTCCTCCGGCCCTCCAGCTTGTGGGGAGGTTATGGCTGCTAGAGGGGTGATCCTGTGCCATGGCTGGGAGAGATTTACTGCCATGTGAGCCACACGCACAAGGAAGCTCTGTGCGGGAGAAGGGGAACTATCCAATGATATCCTGAAACTAATAAAGAACTGAAATTGGCTGAGCTGCAGTTTCCTTTCAGTGCAGCAAGGCCTCATGGGAGTCTGTTCCTGCAAACCCTACCCTCAGCAGCTGCTTTAACTCTTCTCCTAGCAGTGCTGTTCACCTTCAACGTGTGGGTCAAGGACACACTCCACCAGGGCTGGTAGTGTAATAGCATGGTCCCCATCTCACAGCGAGGGGAGCCATGCAGTACAGAAACTAGACTGAGAAAGTCCTCTAGCTCACTGTCTGCCCAGCCAGTGCTGTGTAGCTTGAGCTGTGTCTAGGTGGTGAGGTTTGCAGCCCTTCCCCAGGGGAGCTCATCCTGCAGCCCTGGAGATATCCGTGTTAGGAATGTGTTCTGGCTATTCAGCCAGTTTGCTTTGTGTGCATCCCATTACACCTCCTCCTCCCTCCACCTCTCTTCCCTTCTCAGGGCTGGTGTCCTGCTCCTCTGGTTTGTCACGTTCAGCCCTGGCCCTTATTTGCATACCAACAGCCAACTCAGCCATGGGGGGGGGGTGTCTATAGAGAGTCAGGAACATGTTTCCCAGAACATCCTGGGCAGCAAACACTGTTGCACTGGTGCTAATGTCATGGCTGTACCAACATAGAAACAACCTGTGGAACTCCCTGTAGCAGGAGATAGCAAGGCCCAGGCTGCACTGGGCTTTTAAAGGATTGGTTGATTTTTATGAGCACTAATAGCATATACAACTCCACAAATTCACACAACCTGGGTAATTTAAACCTCATTATTATGTGTATTACAGCAGTGCCTAGAGCCCCTGCCCCAGGCTATGTCGATCTAAAGCGAAGACACTCCCTGCCCCAAAGGCCTTGCAAAACTTGGTTTATACCAAGATGCAAAAGGTGTGGACGGAGGGTAGGACTGATAGGGTAAACAGTGAAATTGCTGTAAGCAGTAGAGGTAGCTCACCCCTGGCCTGGTCTTATCAGCTGCTAGGGTTTGGGAGGAATCACAGCAGGAGCTTGAAGGATGAGGTGGTGGTGGCATGGATTTTAGGGGGAATTTCCCCATGCATAAAGGGTGGGATGAGGGAAAGCCTGGATGCACAAAGGTACTTTGGTGTTGCAACACTGAGTGTTACAGCACCTACCTGTTAGGGCCTAGAAAATCACAGAACCATGTTGCAAGTCACAAAGCCTGAGTTTAGCACCTACACAGTGCCTGGGGCGAGACCGGCGCTTTAGACTGCATTTCCCAAAAGCCAGCATGGTAGGCAGGGAGCTGCCAACCAGCAGAGGATGTGCTAAGCCCTGCTCCTCTCACAGAGACAGGCGCCTAGGTCCAGGCAGGGAGGTGTGTATCTCTGCCAGCGTTCTTAGCCAGGAACCCTCTTTGGAGTTAGGCACCTATGCCACTTCTGCAAGAGGCTGGGCGGGGAGGAGGGCCTCTTTCATAACTTTTAGCCCAGTGGTTCGGATTCTAACCTGGGAGACCCCCAGTTAAAGTCCCCCCGAGGATTTGAACTGGGATCTGCCCCATCTTAGGTGAGTGCCCTAATTGTTGGACATGTGTGTGCTCTCTGTCTCCCTGGCTCAAATGACTAATTATTTATCCACAGTGAAACAGCCTCAATGGGAGAGATTCAGGGAGCCTCACATGGGACTATCCCATAGCCCGGTGGTTAGAGTACGTCCCGAGAGATGACAAGGCTCCAGTTCAAATCCCTTCTCCCCCTCAAGTGGAGGGAGGGACTTGAAACGGGTGCTCTCCCGCAGCCCAGGTGAGCACCCTAACCACTGGGCTAAAAGAGTGATGTAGGAGGGCCACTCCCCCTGGCTGACTTGTGTGTGCCTGAGCGGCCCAACTGGTAGGCAGCCTCTGAGCATGCCTATGGCTCAGGCCCCATACATTTGGCCAAACTCCTACTCCTCCCCCCCCATGGGGCGTAGGCAGGAGCCAGGCATCCAGACCCCTAGAGTGACGCAGCAGTGCACATGCCCAAAGCCTCAAACACTGTCAACACAGGAACTTTTACATCAGAAACATGGCACTGAGAGGGTTTGCCAGTTCTGTGAATCGCCTAAAACTGGGGCTTGGGGCCTCAACCCAGACTTAGGTGCCTAAGTCCCTTTGTGAATCGAGGCCAAAGTGACTGGGCAGTGCAATCAGGGAATGCTGGCAGAGCAAAAGCAGCATCTCGGCAGCAGGAGGAATTACAAGAGCAGCTGGGGCTAAGTTGTGAAGAGACAGAAAGGTAAGTAGCTCATGTTCGATGCCGTGGAGCAGGGGGAGCCCGAGGTGGGCGATGAGCTGGGAAGCTGATGTTAGCAGCACTTTGAATGCACACAAGGGGGCAAGAGTTCAGTGGTTAAGGCTAGCCAGGAGGTCATGAGGCTGCAGCAGGCACAGTGTGAGTGAATGTCCCATGTCAGGATCTGAGCTGACTGCCGTGCAGGCAGTGGTGGAATCCCTCAGCCCCACAGCCAGCGCTGCCCAGCTGCCAGCACTGTTGCACCATCCTCTGGCACTGGCCGCTACCCCACTTTGGCCCAAGAGCCTTGAGTTTGTAGAGCGGCTCTTATGGGCCTGGAACTCAGTCCCTCACCTGATGATCAACTCAGTCATTTTTAATAGGGACACAGGCTAGTGCCATAAAATAAGAGCCAAATGCATAGCTGTAGCATGAGCTATGACACCACATCCTTTGAACTCCACCCCTGGTTAACAAACCCTCCAGCCCCGCCCTGCTGCACCTGGCGTATGACCCTGCTCTGGGCAAAGGGCTGCCTTGCCTTCATTTTAGCGTCACGTGTGCTGTAAGAGCGTGGGTGGGCTGTTCACTCTGGGAGGGAGGAAGAGCAAGCACCTTGTTCTGCCCAGCTGCCTCCAGACTGGAGGCAGAGAGGGGAGGGTCTGAATGAGAATACAGAATCGACCTGTTATGTCAGATAAGCAGCCCACCCATGTCTGTCTCAAAGCTTAGGCTGGAATTGCCCTGGTGGCTGCAGCTCTCAGACCTGGAAACTCCATGTGAGGCTTAACCCTTAACATCACACAGATAGCCCACTGTGATCTCGGCTCCCAGCCACTCTACAAGGACTCTTCCTACGAGGGCTTTTCACTATCATGTGATTGATGTTAACCTGATCCTTTGAACAGGAGATGGAAATGCTGGCGAGGGGGGCGTTGGTCTTTTTGTGGAGGGAGAGAGCAGATCTGGTGCCTTTTGTGCTCCTCAGTGCACTGATTCAGCTACTTCAGCAGCACTGAGAATGCAGGCAGCTGCCTCCGCTCTTCTGGGTTCAGCAAGAGCTTGTGTCCAGTCTGGGTAATTGAAACCCTCCTTAATGAGAGAGGGACTTAGGCCAAGACTCCCAGGTTTTCTCTCGGTGCCAAGGGACCTTGAACTTCCAGCGGGGTGCCCGAGCCTTGCTTTACCATGCCACCATACAGCAGAGGGTCACTTCCCAGATGTGTCTCCTAGCTGTTACCTGTTTGCCTTCCCTGTGTTTAAAAACAGCTCAGAGCTTGATTTTGCAGCACACCAGCCACCTCTAGCTGCCACTCGTGTTGCCAGCGTTATGGCTCTACATTGGGTGCTGTAGGCTAGAGCGCTTTCTGTCCTGGTCAGAGCAGCACCGGCACCTCGGGAAGGTGAGGAAGCTGAACTCGTGCTGACCTCTTGCCGTTTCCAAACACAGAAGTGCAGTTGCCCATATCTTCTCTGCTGGAGGCCTGAGTAAAGAGAGGGAGTTGTAATATCCAACTCTGTGTGGTTACAGGAGCAGAAAGGCCCTGTAACCAGCTGGAGGAGAGGGGGGACATTGGGTTTGTGTAGGTCGCTTCCTGCCCTAGGCTGTAGTGTGTTGTTACTGTCTGCTGTTCAGCAGCTGCTGGGTTCCAACCCAGAAGTGGCTGTGTTGGACAGCGGGGAGGGATGTTAGTATAAGGACAAAAGAGGCTCCAGCCATTCAAGGGGCTGTTTGTTGTGGGTGTTGCTATATGAATAGCTGCTGCAAACACCACCTCCTTCCTGTACTGGCGTGTGGGTGGGAGGAGTAGCTTGGGTGCTACCAGCAGGAACACTAGGCTGAGCCCCTTTGTGTCTTACTGAAGTCGCCAGGCTGCTGGCAGGAGCATTTCGTAGATTAAACACCTCAGGGCTGAGTTTTGAGTCTGAGTTTACAGCCAGCTGAGACCCTTTGTTGGCTGCCCCTGCTCTCTTTAGGGGTGGGTGTGCAGACCTGCACACTGACCTTCAGGGCAATGCCCCTGCTGATGGAGAAGGTGTAAGTGAAGCCGCCCTGCTGCTTGCTCCCCTTCACGTTTGCATGCTGCTGCAGAGGAGACAGTTGGAATGTTTGTGGTGGGCCCTGGGACCGCTCAAACAGGGCCCGTCTCTGCTGTAGGAGCTGCTGGGCTCTCAGCACTGCAGAGGGAGAGACAGTCACAAGAAAGGGTCTGATTTCTCATTTTTTTCTCTCCACACACATCCCAGGACTCCATTCCCTGCCCTTCCCCCCCCCACCACCACCACCACCACCTGGGATTGTGCAGCCCAAGCGAAAGATCCCGTGCGGTCAATATTTGGATTGGATTCCCCCAAAGGGAAGTTCAGGATGATTCAAGGGGGCGGGGAGAACACTCCCTAAAAGCCTGTACTGAGCCAATGCCCTAGCACGGTGCTAGATGTAACACTAAGGTCTTGATTTCTTGTCTTGAGAGAGCCCCTTGCACTTTTCCCCACAGGCAGGAGGGTCCCCTGGTGTTGTGATCAAATCAACTCTGGTAATTTATGTTCTGCTGCTCTTTAGTCCCCGTGGTTTCCTCTGGACGCGTGATACTTCACTTCCCCTTGTGCAGTGACTGGGGCAGCATGACTGCTGTGGCCCACCCCGTGTTGGCCACACTTAAGTAGCGCTGATTTTTGTCTCTACATTGTCTGTAAAGCTTTTTGGATGAAAAGGGCTCTGGGAAGAGTAATGGATCTGACACTGAGCCCTTGGAGGGACAGTTCTCTCTACCCCAGCTCAAGGAAACAGCTTAAGTGCTGCCAAAGGACTTCTGCGGCTCAGCGTTTTGAAAGGGCAGTTTTGCGCCTGGAGCAGCTGGCCAGTGTGGAGGAGAAATCTCTCAGCACAGCATCGTCCCTGCAGATGTTTACTGGTGTTGGTAGAGCAGGCACTTAGCCTGCACGAGACACGAACTGGTGGCAAAAGCCTGGCGGGGCAAGAAATACTCCATTCTACAAGGCAGTCCCATGGGGAATTTATCCCTGAGGGCAGGACCACCCTTCTGCAATTCCTAGGGGTGAAAGGCCCTACCAGCCTCAGCATTTTATCGGTCCACACAAGGGACAAGAGAGACACAAAGATGAGCCCTGGGGGGTGCCCTTTCCTGGGGCCAGAGCTGCACCATGGGCTTGGACTCTACAGTCCGACATGGACTCAGGGTGATGAACGTACCCGGGGCTCTCTGGACGCTCTCAAGCGACCGCTTCAGCCAGGCCTTTCGGAACCCAGCCCAGTACGGCAGTAGGGTGCTGAAGACTGAGTCCCTCAGCTCATCGAACAGGCTGGGAGGCGGTGCTGGGGCATCCTGCTGGAGGGCCTGCTCAGCTGCCCGGACAGCTCTCCCCAGCTTCTCAGCCTCCACCACTACCTAGGGAGCAAGCCACAAACACACTCAGGGGCTTGGGGCAAGGGAGCAAGTCTCCATGTTACCAGCTGCAAAAACCTTTCCCCCTCCCTCGCTTCAACAGCGTAAGGCCACGGGGGGTGGGGGCAGGGATCTGCTAGATATCCCAGCTGCTTCTACGCTAGTTTGGCCTCTCATTCTGCACAGGCTGATGCTGGGCTCTCTCAGCCCCAGTGCTACCAGGTGCTGCTGTGGAGGGCGTTTTCCAGACCAGGTGAGCTGAGGACAGGCTTCGGGTATGGGGGGGCTGAGCTGGGGACGGGGTGGGAGCTAGCCTGGGCTGAAGTTGGCTTGGGGATTACGTTGGGGTTGATCACTGTATTTCATCATCTTGGAATTTTTTGGGTGGGGGAGGAAATTGGGAACTAGCCTGTTCCCTCTTACAGCATTAAATATGGCCATTGACGCCCAGTCCTGCTGTCCCTGATTTCAGTGGGAGCCCACAGAGGTTACACACCCATCACTCTGTTTTGCAGAACTCCTGTGTTAAATATCAATGCACAGCTAATACTTCAGACCCAGCTCCTCCTCTCTTGCCCTAGGCCTGCCTGACAGTCTGTTTGCCCCGTCCCTACTCTTGTGTCCGAGCATGAGGCCTACCTGCAGCCGGGGCTCCAGCTGGGAGACAAGGAAGCAGTTGCGGATCACCTGCACCTTCTTCCTCAGGAGAGCCCTGTCCGGCATGGCATGATGGGCGTTCTTGAACTTCTGCACCTCCAGGTGGAAGTGCAGGCCGTGCTCCAGCACAGGGGGACCATGGACCTGCAGGTGTTTGAGGAAGTGCAGCCTCTCCAGGGTGGGCCAGCCTTCAGCAGCAGCCCTGAGAAATTGGCAGAAGGAGGCCTTGTCTTCCTGGCTGGGCTGGGCTGTAGCTGCTAACCCCCCGGCAGCTTTCCTGGTCCTTAGATGCTTGAGGGCCACCTTGGCAGCCAGCAAATGCAGGAGCGGCTGAAGCTTGGGCCAGCCCTCATCTTGGATCCGGGAAGGCTGTACTCCGTGCCTGTCCAGCCCCTTGCTCACCTCAGCCCAGAAGCTCTCAAAGGCCGAAGCAATGTGCGCATACAAGGCAGCTTGGATTTCTTCCACGCTTGAGTCGCTTACTGCTCCCTGGCCCACCTCTGTCCTCAGTCTCTTCCTCAGCTCCCTGGGGAGATGAGGGCTCAGCGGCCCAGCCCCTTCAAAGAGGTCCAGGAGCTTCAGCACACAGCTCAGCCGCTTCCTGCCCTCTGGGGCTGCCCGGCACCGCTCCAGCTTCTCCAACAGCCCTAGCACCCTCTGGAGCCCTGCATCTTGCATTTCCTGAGCCGCCTTTCTATAGGCTTTGAAAACCACCTTGTTGTTGAGCAGTTCCAGGGCACGCTGGGGCGTCACTGACCCTTCCCCGCTTGCCAGGCCAGTGTGGCCTGAGCCCTGCGGCTTGGCTGCTGCTTTCTTCCCCCACCTCCTCTGCTGTTCTCTGCCTTTCTGGGCATGAAAGCCAGTATTTTCCTTCTTCTTCCTGGCCCTGCAAGGATGCAAACAGGTTCTCAATACAGCCATAGCACATCAGGCTATGATCTTGTTGGATCTCATAAGCTGAGCAGCATCATGCCTGCTCTGTACTTAGATGGGAGACCCTTCCTTCCCCCCTCCACACCCAGTGAAACCAAAAAGCAGTGATGGTGGTTTTGAGGGAGTACCTACACCAAGTCTGTGCTTTCCCTATGTCCTCACGTGATGCTGGTGGTTGCTGTGCTGTTGGAGATGTTTTTCAGGGTCTGACCACTTATGGTCAGTGTAGATCCCATGAGACTGAGGGATTGTCCTAACCCTCTTCCAGGGCAGGAAATTGTATCCTGCCTCCTAACTTCCCTCTGCAGTGGGACGCTGTGTTCTTCATGTCCTCTGCAGTGTTTATGTGGTGGGGAAATAGCTGCCTTAATCCACCCCAGATACAGCTGCATGCCAGTGGAGGGCACAGTGATTCTCAGAATGAGAGTTCTGTGAAGTGATTTGGGTCCTTTCGCAAAAGAGGGATAAGATCTAAATAGAAGATCATTATCAATATAGCAGCCTGCATTCTCCTCTGGGCATCAGGGCTCTATAGTGCAAATATCATCCCCAGAGTACATGTTCTTAACTAGGCACATGCAGTAGAGGCTACATAAACATAGTGGGGACAGTGGGCAGCAGGGACTTGATTAAAGCGGCTGGAATTTTAGCTGTGAAAATGATTCATCAGCTTGGTAACACCTCTGGGAATCCAAATGTCCAACTGGACACCTGACTTCCTTTTGGAGCTCTCACAAAGCGTCGTTTGCCAGCCTGAATCCCAAGCAACTGTGTGTCCCCTTTGCTGAGTTCAGACAAAGAAGTACCTGTCTCTTCTCTGCTTTATTCTACTGTCTTTGCTCCTGACATCCTGCACTTCCAAGTAAGAGGCTGGGAGGCAGTACCTGCAAGAAAGAGGGTGGCACAGAGCAAATGAGCCAAGTGGGCAGCTGTCTCGCTTAGAAGCAGAGTTTAAAAGATTTTTGCGATGCGCACTCGCTGGTTGGAAAGAATCTCAAGCTGCAGCCCAAAGCTAGAAGTGAATGAAATACTCCGGCCAATCCTTCATTTAGCTGCTCCACTCTCAAGTGGAGGTGCTGTCAGGAGTGGAGCAGGAGCGCTGGCTAGCAAGCAGTTCCCAGCTGCTCCAATCCTGGCCTCCCACAGAAGAAGGGGCTGTAGAGAGAGGAGCAGGAGCACTGGCTGTGGGAGAGCTCACAGGTACTTTCAGCAGGCCATGTGCGAGACGGTAGTGGGTGAGCACTGGCTTTGGGGCAAGGGGGAGCTCCTAGATTAGTCCAGTCTGATCTTCTCCCAGCAGGACGTGCTCCAGAAGATGATGCAGGAGCACCTGTAGTAAGATGAGGCCCTGAAACATAAACCCTTGGTATCAGAGGCCCGGTATGAGGCCTAAGGCCTGAACTAAAGTAATTTAGTCAAGACTTTGCTAACAAAGCAAAGTTAAGCTGTGAGCCAGAGGCAGGCCCTGCTCCCAGAAGCTGGCAAGGAAAGGGCTGATGCTGCAAGAAGATACATACCTAAAAGGTACTGGACACTAGCTATCAGAACACTCCGATACTTGCACATTTCCACACACATAACAAGCAACAGGCTGACCCATCCCAAAGACAGGGGTAAAAGGGTAATATGATGGATAGAATTGTTTTGTTCGAACCAACATGTACAAGGAGAGAGGCGGCACCTGGCTACGTAAAGGGGTTGTACCTTGTTATGTAGAGGGGTTGCACCTCAGTACATCAGGAGTGATGCGTAACTTGTTTGTACCTGTGTATAAGAATTCATCCCTGGGGCAGTGTCTTTGTCTGGCCTAGGGGGCAGTGGCGTGTCCCGCCACTGACTGAGCCGGTCCATTGTCAGGGAGCACATATTCATAGTATGTCCTATAGGGTCTGCGGGGAACTATTAATGTGCTTCATTTGACTATAAACCTGGCCAGGTGCCTTCGTACCTTATCGAAGTCTGTGGTCATTGGGGGTTCTCTCGGGATCTGCTGTGTCCGCTATCTGCGCAGAGCCAGGGCAGCGCACAGAGGGAACACATGCACGCAGCCGACTGTTATCAACATTGGATAGAGCGGAGCACTTCACCGGTGGCGTCTGACAACAGCACCTACTGTAGAAGGCCTGAATCCAGGACTGCCAGCATTTTATTTGAGGCTGCAAGGAGCCAAACTGTCTGGAGAGGAGGAGTAAAGCCCTTCACTAGGTGCAGTTAGGGAGCTGTCTCAGCTATGTGTCCATGGATAAAGCAAGAACTGAATTCCCCTATAAACCACTTCTCTCCCCCTTGTCTGCCAGTGCTTTACACCCGTGTCTGGAAACCAAAGAAGAGGACCCAGGGGTTCTTGGGACTCACTCCAGGAAGGTGGCTATCTCATGGCGGAGGTAGTGGAGCCAGGCCTCACAGAGAACAGCGAGCACATGCTGAGCCACTGGTTCCAAGGCCAAAGGCTCCAGAGGTTGGTTGCTGGAGCTGAGCATCTCCTGAAGCTGCTGGATGTAATGTGGCAGATTGGAGCTGAGCCCTGCCGGGAGAAGAAAAGCAGAGCGGAGCGTTGGCCTTGGACTCCATCTTCAAAGGCAAGTTCGCTGGGGCAGGGAAGTAAGTAACATGCAGCCACTGGACACGAACCCTCCTCCAGTGCACCCCTTTGCATTGGTTCTCCAGAGGAGTCCAAGGAAATCTCCCCACGAGGCAGTGTGTTGGTCCCCAGCTGCCGTTTACGGAAGAAAGTGGTGCAGTAAGTCTACTTGAGCAGGAAACTAGATACTGTCCCCGGACCCTATACACCAGCCAGTGCCTCCCATGTGTCCCTACAACTGAGATGGGCTGTGGTAGCGACTCCTCTCCCAGAGGATGGGCTGCTTCTCTGGCTTTGGGAATTCACTGGGCTATTGCTCCCATTCTAGACCTTCTGTCACCGGGCCCATGGAAAATGGGTTATTTAGCAGCTGGAGGAGGGGGCAACTTGCTTTCCAACCTCAAATCCATTTTGGGTGGCTGCAGGTTCAGACTTAGACCGTCCCTCTAGACCCCTGAATGTTTTCTGGTATTACACTCCCACTCACTTATGTTCTCTAGAACCAATAATTTTGCTCATTAGTCCCTGTGGTCCCCCGGTGCAGGTCTCTGGGATTCAGCCCGGGATCCTCACGCACACCCAGCCACAGTTGAACCCAGTGCCAAGTGGATTTGGCCACTGAATGCATATGGTGTGGAGCTCACCGACATCATATGGCGCACCGTGCACCAAATACATATGGAAGATCTGCCAGGCTGAGCGGTGGGGCTGGAGCCGGTCTGCCTGCCACTCCCAAGCAGCCTGGTGCTCCTCCAGCACTTGCCACAGCTGGAAGTTATGGACCTTCTGAGCATCCTCAAACCTGGAGGGTAAGCAGGGAAAGAATGCGCATCAGCCTGGGGGAGTGTGAACAGTGAATTAGTCCCGTCTCCTCTGGAGCAGCCAGCAGGGATAGAGCCCAGCTGGCTTGTACAAGGCTGTATGGTGGCCTCTGGAGAAAACTACCCTAAGCCAACATTTGTCTCTGATGCATCAACTCTCTGTCGCAGCTAGAGGTAACACAGCAGCAAAGTCTATATTCCCAGGGATTCCCCAGCTCAGTCAGGTGGCTGAAAAGGATAGGGACAGGAGAGAGAGACTAACCTGGTCAGGTAGTGAAGAAAGCTCCCCCCAGCCCCAGGATCACACATTAGTGCTTGGAGGAGGTGGGAGGTCAGCGGTGTGTCAGGGAGATTCCATGGGAGGTCTGGCTGCCGAGCTGATGCAATCCTCCCTCGCCAGCTTGCACCGGAGCACGGAAGCTGCATCGGATGGACAGCAAGAAGAGGTTTTCAATGCTATATTCATTCTGACCCTCACTGCTGGCTCTCCAAAGGTGACAGAGAGCTGCCTCAGGCCCTGGCCAGAGACAGATCCCCAATTAGAGAAGAGGAACCACACAGAATAACCCTTAGCTGCATTACCAGTCGCAATCCTGCATGGCTGGCTGCTACTAACAGTGCAGAAGGACATCTCAAGTGCTCAAGGAAGAACTTGAGCTGGAGCAGAAGAGCTGGAGGTCTGTCTTTTTTTATGGCCCTTCTCACCCAGGCTCTATTCATTCATCCCCCCACCCCCCCACAAACTAGTCTCGGGTTGAGGGGGCCTGTGATTCTGCTGGTACCATCTTTGCCTCCTATACCATTTTGGTGGTGTCCCTGCCACCAGCTTGGTGACTGTCTGCCCCACCTCCCACGAGGCAATTAGAGAGCCACCCTTATTTTGGATGGCAGGGTGTTGTGTCCATGTGCTGTTAACCTGCCTCAGTGTTGGATTGCGTCACATTGGGAAGATGCCCGCAGGGAGAGACACACACTATCCAAACCATGCTCCCTGGAGGCGTTACTTACACTGAACCAGTCTGCGCTTCTATTCGTGCAGCTCATGCATCCGCCACCCACAACAGGAAGCGACGCAAACACCTTGAGCGAAGGCAGGAAGTCAGTTGCCACGGGCGGCCTAGGCTTAGTCTGGGAGCCTGAGGTGGGGACAGCCCTACCATGGAGTCAAAATAAATATGTAACAACACCCTGCTTTCCAAGCAGTTCCGTCTCCTCATTTTAAGAGGGGAGAGACTGAGCCAGAGGGAGAGGTCAGGCAGGAAGGCAGTGGGAAGAGAACCCAGCTCCCCAGTAGGAAACTATGCCCCATCTCAGCCCTCTAACCACTGGATCTCACTCCCCTACTAGGTCCAGGAATAGAAAGGAGGAGTCCTGATTCTCAGCCCTGCTGTAACCACTGGATCCTCCCTCCTCAAGGCCTCTGCAGTTGGTGAGGCCAACAGGGGCTGTGGAGTCTGGGAAGAGCTCCAGCAAGCTTCCCAGTTCTCTTGTGGCTTGTCCACTACAGCAGCAGGCCCTGCCTCTTGACAGCTACAAAAGGAGGAGCTTTCCCTCCCCGCTACCACATCATCCCATTGCACAAACCTGAGGTGTCTGGTTCTCTGGTGGTGGAGGAGAAACCTGGGAACCCAGTAGGCACGCAGGCGTCTCAGAGCATCATACTGGCTCCTGCTGAAGGCAGTGAAAGTTGCCTCAATGCTGCCCTGAGCCTCACACTTCTGCTCCTGCCAGCAGAGAGGGGAGAACAGCACGTGTCAGCCACACCACCACTCACCATCGCCCGGGCCAGCCACCCTCACCAGGCCTCACTGAGCCACACTGTGCTCTGGGGTCAGAATATCCCACCATGTCCCTGCTTGAGCATGGCTCAGTCTTGGTTTCCTCCATTCTCTGCCTAGGCTTGGCTCCAGCAATGTTCTTTAATACCACGGTCCTCAGCCTAGTGCCTTTGTGACACCAGGGAAGAGATCCTGACGCCCGGCTCCATGGGGATCCCAATGTGACACTGATGCCCCTCTGTGCGTTGTCAGCAGTGGGGATCAAACCTGGGACCTCTTGAACTTAATGTATGAGTCTCTATTGCCTGCTGTAAAAGACACAGCCAAGGCTGTAGTAGGCCCATTAATCTTTAGCTGGCCTGGCCGCTGCAGAAGAGGGACAGAGCACCACACCAAGCAGGCACAGCTTACACCAAGCTGGGGCAGAGGAGAACAATCAGAGGGGAAAGTCACCCAACCCCCATCTGCCATTAACCCTTTGCGGGACTTGTGCTTAACAATATCTACCAGCTGAGAGGAAGCACAGACCCTAGAAGCCAGGACCTTAGGGGCTGTTGGTTTCACATTCTCTCTCTCTCTCAGCATCAGAAGATAAATGTATCCAGTGAGCGCAAAATACTCTGCTGAGCCTGCCTTGTAGCTGACAGAGGCTCATTGCGTACCTGGGGAGGGACTCGGGCACAGAGCATTCACTTCAACATACAGTGTCCCACCCATGCCACCAAACCACGGCTCAGTTTGGTACAGATAGGGCCATACTGGCAACCTCTGCGCAGGGTGTGCCTCAGGCTGTCAGTCAGGGGCAGGCTTGTGAGGTGGGTGGGGGAGCTCCCTGTGTCTGGCTCCAGCCGGCGCTGTTCCTCCCTCGTTCCTTCTGTCCCCCCCGAGCCCTGCCCGGCTTGCTGCCCTCATACGCTATTGTGTGGCTGGACCCTTTGTCCGCTCCAGCCTGGGCAATCAGTCATGACCCTGCGTTAACAATGATCATTGGCCACCCGCTCCTGGATGCTCTTGAGAGGCAAGCCATGCAGCAGGCAGAGCCGGGAGGTCGGGCTCAGTATCTAGATCACGGTCTGCATTAAGGCCAGAGTCAACCCCCATGGATGGACGGGCAGTCGCCCTGGGAAACGGGCAGCAGCAGGACCCCAGTGTCACTGGAAGGCAGGAGCAGAGCAGCTGATGGGGGAGGCAGTTCACACAAGGAGCGTTCCCCAGGGCTCTGCTGTCTCACCTCTGCTAGCAGCTGAGGTGTGAGATTCACAGACCTGCCAAACACAAACGTATGTGTCTGCTAAGGCTGCAAGGGGCGGGGGGGGGGAAGGGTGGGCACCTGCACCCCAGCAGCTTCACTCACCTGGGAAGCCAGAGACAGGCTCAGCTTGTACGTGTCTTGAATGTTCCTGCAAAGAAAAGAACAATGGCTTCACCCCAGTAAAGGCTGAAGCAGCTCAGGCCCTGGGCTTCAGACAGCCATGGTCTCAATGCTAGAGGAGCCAGGACGTGCAGGGTACTTCCTAAGCACACTGATCGCTGCAGCTGAGAACCGGACAAGCCAGCTATCCCCAAGCACCTCTGCCCAGAGGGGATCACAACCTGGACAGTGTCCGGTCCTCTGTGCTTCTCCTGTCACCCTGTCTTACTTGGTGCATGGTGAGTGGCTACAAGGCCACAAGCATCCAGAGACGTCTGCCAGGCGGAACAGACCCATACGGGCTGCTCTTCTCTCATACCTCAGGCCTCCCACAACCCTAAAGAGCCCAAGGGGTCCTGAAAGTGGGTCTGGTTATTCTGCATGGGGCTGACCCCTGCTGGGCCCAAGGACGATGCTGTCTTTGCAGTCCCTGGTATGAGTCTGTCTGACTGGGGTTCCCTCGAGCCTTCGCCTGCTCCTTACACGGACGCAGGTGGGAGATTTGGGGGCTCATCACAGGGATTTGGAGCTGGGATTCTCCAATCTCTCTACACTACGGTCTGAGTGACACCGCCTGGCTGCTAGAAACACAGTACCACCTGCCCCTACTGGAGCGGGAGCAGATCCAGACCTGTGGGCAGCAAGGGTGTGAAGCCACCACCTGGTATGGGCTCAACAGCAGAGCCATGCCCACTAGTGTGCAAACAAGGGGATGGGCACAGGAGCAAAGCCACTCCCTCTTGCCCCTCCCCCAGTGTGTGAACGAGGGGGGTTCATTGGGACACCCATCCCTACCGGCAGAGGCTGACACAGAGGAGCTGGGCCTCCCGCTGGGCAGCACTGGCCTCTAAGCACTTGGTGCGCTCCATGACATCCTCACAGTCCATCCAGAAGTGAAGGAGGTGGATCCCCAGGGTGCCATGGAGAAACTCCTTGAAGCCATCCATACCAGCCCTCTGCAACACAAGGGGGTGGGGAGCACAGTGGGAGGCTGGGTTCTGCACGTGCGGGGAGGAGGCTGGAGTTCAGCCCCAGAACAGAGCAGGGAGGGTCGCCACCTCCCCCTTTAACAGAGTCTGACCCCTCCAGGAATTGCTCTACCAGTCAGACTTATAACGCGGGGCACCCAGGGCCCCTTTCCTGACCATCAGTGCTTGGCCCAGATGCTGCTGCAACTGTGAGGCCCTCCCATCTCCCACAGGGCTGGCACCCAGGGGAATGAATACAGTTCCTCAGAGTAATGGCTGCAACCCTGCTTAGGCTTCCCTCTCCCTGGTGGACAAGCCAGGAATCTGATGGCTTATCTGCCAGGCATTCCCTCACCACTGGGATAAACAAGGGTACCTCACTGGCTGCTGTGGTGAGGCCCAGCCCAATTCTCCCCATGATCTCTTGCCTAGAGGGGGCTGGGAGGTCTCAGCGCTGGGATCAGCACACAGTTGTCCCCGGCTCGCTATGTTACCTGGGTCCCTATGACCATTCCTACGAGTGCAGAGCAGGGACACCAGTGCTGTAGGACCAGGGACAGACCGGTGGAGGGAAAGTGGCCAGCTCTAGCAGAGGCTGCAGCCAAGGTTTATTCCTAGAACCCCATAAATCCCCCAGTTCTACATACTAGGGGAGCTGCAACGAACAGGTTTCCTGCCCCAAGGTCCAGAGCGGAGCAGAACTGGAGAGGCAGCTGCTTGTTCCTGACTGGAGGGGGATGGTTAGGGACAGGAGGGAGGTGGCAGAGGGAGGAAGGGAGATACAAGGAGCTGTTAGGAGTGAGGCTTAGGGAGATGGAAGTGGGTAGGGCCGGGAATCACTCATGGGCCTGCAGGCCGGCACCTGGCACAGGGGAAGGGGAGACAGCATGGCAGCTGGCTAATATCTCCATCAACGTGCACCTCAGCCCCATCCTTCAGCAGGGTCCAATGAGACTCACCGTCCCCAGCACGTCCTCCTTCAGCTGCTGAAGAGTGGAATGGCCAAAGCCAGGGAGCAGCCAGGATTCCTCCCCTCCCTCAGAGGCACTTGATTCGTCCAGGTCAAACGGCAGCACCTTCCTGGTGCCTGAGACCGGCTCCCCTTGGCGCCTGCTGTGAGAGAAGGGAGAGGGGCTGCTCTGGCACTGGGCACAGGGTGTGTCAGAGCGCAGAGCCTGGGCAACTCACAGGGACACCTGTGTGCAGGGCTACAGTGGAATTACCCTGCACATCCCATCCTGCCCCCACACCAGCACCCAACCCCATATCCACCCTACTTCCCCTGCCCCTGATTCATCACACCCACTGAGCCCCCAACCCCTGCCAGAGAGGGAAACGCCCTTTGGGTGCTAGCTGGGTGGCTGGTGGGTCAGCACTCTGGGAACAATGGGGCCTTCTACAGGCACAAGGGGTCAGTGATAGGGAGGTTCCCGCCACAGGACACAACACCCCAGCGCAGCCCTGTACCCCGCACACCCCCAGCACACACCGTACGCATCCCCGGGGCACCCCAGGGCAGCCACACACCTCAACATGCACAACTTCCCCAGCAGACACACCACGGTGCTTCCCCCAGGGACACACACAGCTCCGGGGCGTTTGGAAACAGAGCTAAGAAAAAGGCAGCTCAAGGGCAGTCTCGAACCTGGCCCAGGGAGGTGCATGGAAAGAAAGCCACCGAGAAAGCTTGGCGTTGGGGTTATTCCCCCCACCCCCCACCCTCCCAGCCCTGAGAGCAAAACAACGTAAAACCCAGACCCCCCAGGCAGAATGTGGCAGAGGGCTCCCAAGTGACAGCCCCCACTAACGCTATGGCAGGCCAGAGACGGCCCCATGCTCCAAACTGGACCCCGGGATCAGACCCGGAGCAGCTGCAGCCCTGTCCTACAGCTCTTCCTTTCCCGCTGCCAGTCTGGAATCCATGCCCGGCCACGTGCTGAGGGAGAGAATCCCTTCCCCTGCTGTGTCCCCCCAAGCCAGCCCCCGACACCAGGCCCCCTCTCTGAGGGCTTCACAAGATCACACAGGATGCTGCACGGAGCCACTCTCAACCCCCCTCCCCTCCCATCAGACATAAATCACTCAGCAAGGGGAGTCTGCCACCCCCACAGAGCAGCGCTAGGCCACACCCCGCCTCCGCATGCCCCTCACGCTGCCTCTCTGCCTGGCCAAGTGGTGATGACACAGCACCCCCTCCCCCACCGGGGCATTAACGGGCAGAGGGCGCACAGGCCCGAGAAGGCGGCTAACAAGGCTGCCTGTGAAATGTTAAAGCACAACACTGGGAACCAGGGTGCCAGGCCAGGCTCTGCCCCAAGACACGCTGTGCCACTTTGGGGGAATTACAACCTCCCCGTGCCTTGGTTTCCCCATTTGCAAAGGGAGGCTGAAATCCACAATGCACTTTGAGGTTCTGGGATAAAAGGGGCTAGATAAGTGCAAGATATTGTCATGCTCCTCACAGCCCCCCTGAGGAGCTGTCTCTTCTTCTCAGCCTTGGGAAGGAGCAGTCAGTGCTGAGCCAGACCACCACATACTCTCACTGCAGCCCATTCCCAAGCCCCCAGCTTGATCTGACTGTGCACTTGGCAGGGCTGCTACTTCAGCCTAGTTACTGCACATTGCCTGCTCCTCCTCCCCAGCACCGGGAGGTGCATTAACGCCTTCGTAGCCTTACCTGCCCGGGTGGTACTTGATGTGCCCTGCCGTGGGTGAAGAGCTAGAGGCAGCTCTGGTCAGGCCAGCAAGGGATCTCTCAGACCCACCAGCGTTGGTCCAGCCATCCACGGATCCTTCTGTAAGCATGATACAAGTGACATGTCATAAATTAGTCCACGTGTCTAGACTCCACAGCAGCCCCGTGGTGGCTGGGCCAAAATGCCTCCATGGCTAGCTCCTGTCCAGTGCCCACAGTGGCCCTAGGTAGCAGCCTGTGGGCTGTACCTGTCTGGGATCCCGGCTCCCACTCTGGGATTTGACAGGAAACCAGGAGCTGTGGAATCCACTCTGCACCCTAGGGAGCAGGGGAACCCAGCTGCTATTTGCTCTAAAAAGCTGCATGGGTTGCCAGCTTTACCTGCCACAGAAATGCAAACACATCTGGGATGGAGCAGCCAATCAACAGCCGCATAACACAGCAGCTTAGGACCAGAAGAAGTGATACAGAAGACTGTCCCCAAGTTAAATGACAAGGGGAACTCAGGGAGATAGAACTTAGTTGTCCCTATTGCAACATGGTCGGACACCAAAGCTAATACCCCGACACCCGCAAAAATTGCCTGGGATCTTTAATGACTACGAGCGTATAGTCCTTGTGTGCCCCTTCTCTCGGCCCGCGTGGTCGCCCCTCCCTCGGGTCTCCTCGGAGATCAGATCCTCTGCTCTCTTTCCCCAGGAGTCCCGGTCTCTGGGGAAGGGGTCTCCCAAGGTCAGAGTGTTCAAGTAAAACAGAAGGTTTTAACGAAGAACATGGTCTAAAACAGAGTTGAGGTGAGAGAACGACCCTCAGTGGGTCCATTCTGGGGGGTGAGAGACAACCACTCTGACTTCACTCCATGTCCCAGCCACCCCAAACTGAAAACCCCCTCCAGCCCCCTTCTCTGGGTGTCCTTTCCCGGGAGGTGGTCACTGATTCTTTGTTCTCCAACCCTTTACTCACCTTGAGGGGGAAGGGCCAGCATCAGTTGAGGAAACGGGGAGTTGGCATTCTCTGTGTCCAGACTCCTGACACACCTGCCCTCTAGGGCTCTGCAATGATCATACACCCTTACCCCACCCCTAGATACTAAGAACTGTAGGGGAAACTGAGACCCCACACTATTCAGAGGAAACATTAAAACAGTCCCCTTCACATCTCTCCCCCTTCGAGATCGAACTGAGCGGGGTCACTTTAGCGGTGACTGGGGAAGTTCAACACCATGTTCCCATGGATGCCCCAATCTCTCCCATTCTTGGTAGGAGTTACACCACCTTCCATTTCACACCCTCCCTTAGGTCAGGGGTGGTCATCATCGCAGGGATGTGGGAAGGTTTATGCCCCATGCCCTTTGACCCAAGAATGTCTCCCCATTGACCATCACCTTCTGCTCCCACTGGAGGTCCGAGGGGTGGCCCCAGGAAACTCCACACAGACATATAGGTTGGGGTCAGGAGTGGGAGCTTCCACATCCCCAACCATCTGGTGACGGAGTCTATGGTTGGACAGAAGGGAGCTAGACACCGGGGTTTCCGCAGGGTCCCCTTGGTTCAAATCGATGTCAAAGGCAGTGAGGTGGGCATCCACACACCCCCTCCTTAACCAGGGGCAGCAATTTAGTCTCGAGGTCCTGAGAACTGGCCCCGATCTATCCCCACTCACCCTGGGAGGTCCCTACCTCTCGCCCCACCACCGCAGTTCATGTGTGCTGTCTGCAGCTCTTTCTCGGGTCTCGTGTCTCCCAGGGTCTCTTGCTCTCTCGGACTCACTCCAATCCGTCGTCTCGATCCCCCGATGGGGAACCCGATCGTGAAGACCCCGTCTGGTCGGGGACAGGAGCTGGCGGTTCCCCTCACTGCTCCCAGATCCTGCTATAGCCCCAGTTGGGGTCAGGAATCTGTTCCTTAGAGCGGTCATCCTCCTCCAGCTCACGATTAACTCTGTTTGTAACTTTCAACCTCAACCCTCTCTTTTGCACAGGGTTACAATGTCCTTCTTAAGGAGAAGGTGACACCATCACTCCCTCTTCCCAAGTTGTCGTGGACTCACAGGCCCTGTGTTCTCAGCTCCCCACGGTTTCCAGGGAGAACCCCTAGTGTCACCCTTCTCGAGGTCACCACCTCTTTGCAGGTCGAGGAACTCCTCCGCCCTAAGAGTCGTGAGTCCCCAGGGGACCCCATTACTGCACATCTTTCGCTGGTACACACCCCAGGGTTACCCCCCAAACGCTCCTTCTGACTTCAGCGCTGTCCTCGAATCCCCTTCGTGTTACTGCTCCCCATCACTTACTGCAGGAAGCGCATCCACGGGGTGAGTACATCCCACCTCTGCCACCAGTTGTCACGAGTCCTGGCGTGTCTGATGCTCCCCATGAAGCAGTCAGGACTCTGGGGAGTTCTGTGAGAGCTGTCTGAGGAACACACTACCTTCCACCTTCCTGGGTTACTCGGGATCAGATCCTCTGTCTCGTGTTCCCCCGGTCCGCAGGGGTGTCCTGGGGAAGAGAGGGTCTGCCCCCACAGTCAGAGTGCTCTCACAGCAGTAAAACAGAAGGTTATTAGAGAAGGAAATGGTAAAACAGAGTTGAGGTGAGAGAAGGGACCCTCAGCTGGGTCCATTCTGGGGGGAGGGAACAAACGTTACTTCCTCCATGTCCCACACAAACTAAACCCTCACCTTCTGGGTTTTTTGAGGTGGTACCTGATCTTGTTCTCCAACCCTTACTCTCACCTTGCAGGGGGGGCCCACCATCATTCAGAAAAAAGGATTTTTTCATTCTCTTTTTTTTCACTCCTCCTCCCCCCCCCCCCCTTTGGGCTTTTATTATTTAACATCCTTTTCCCCCCTCAATTTAATTTTTTGGGGGAATGGGGCCTTGGGGATAAAAAGTCCCACTTCGTCACACCCCTCATCTAGGGTGACCAGACAGCAAGTGTGAAAAATCAGGACTGGGATGGGGGGCAATAGGGGCCTATATAAGACAAAACCCCAAATATCGTGACTGTCCCTATAAAATCAGGACATCTGGTCACCCTACTCCCATCCAAGTACTGAGAAGCTCAAAGTCTGGGGAGGGAGGAGATGATAGCAGGTTGAATACAGACTTATCCTCTGACAGGCATTGTGTGAATGTATCTAAGAGTAATGAGCAGGTGCCTTCCCACCCATGACTGGGCAAAGCACTTGGTGTGGGGCACTCCAAACTGGAGTACAAGGCAAACCAGGGGCCCATCACTCAAAGGGGTTTTCAGGCAAAAGCAAGAGGATGCATCTGGGTGCGACTGGCAGAGCCTCCGTCCACCCTCTCCAAGCTACAGCAATCTCACCGTTGGCCACTCCTGTGCCAGAGTCAGGCAGGAGGCTTTGGAGGTGCAGCCTGCTCAGCCCCTCTGCAAAGGGAGATTGTCCCAGACTCACGGCAGCTGGGAACTCCACAGGGCTCCCCCAGGGCAGCTGGTCAGGGACACTGGAGAAGCAGCCTGCAGGGGGGCAGAGAGTCAAAAGGGAAATGCCCAAGGACAAACGGCTACTGGTGGTGGGAGTCTCCATGTTGGTGCATGGAGGAGTCTGGAGGGCTATGGGCAAGCACAATGGGGTGGTCAGACAGTGAGTGGCCTGGATTCCTAACCCTGCAGGAGCGATGGGGGTGGGATCTAGATAGACTGTGGGGAGGGCCCAGTCTCCTTGGTTCTTTCAACAGTGGGGTGTCACTGATGCTCTCTGAGACCCTGCCTGACGTAGTGAGATCATCAGCTTCCCAGGAGCCCTTCCTAGTTGGCCAGCAGCCCAGGAGAGTGATAACAGAACGGGGCAGCTGAAAGACACTTTCGGAGGAGATGAAGAACCGATGGGGCAGCCAGCGCTGCAGAGGAGGAGGCTCTCGCACCGAGAATGGCCAGGCTGTGCTGAAGAACAGAGAGGAGGCAGGTGCTAGATAACCAGAGGGAGCTGGGGGAGGAAGAGAGAAAGGCAGACAAGTTCTGCGAGATCACCTGGGACCAAGGAGGGTGATTGTGCAGAGCACAGAGTTAGTGGGGTCAGGGCATACTTTCCCTTCTGTGTCACCTAGAAGGCCCTGCTCGCTGTTCTGTGGGGTAGGCCTGCTCTAGGCTGGTCTTTAAACTATACCTGAGCAATGTTTGAAAAAGGGTCCCTGGGTAGGAGTGTGGTTTTTAACCATGGTCCCTTAGTTCTGTTTGAGTCTCAGCCTTGCCCTGGGTCTTGGCCAGCCTGGGGAGAGCAGCAGGCAGGTGGAGCCCTTCCAGGTTGATAAGGGCAGACACCATGCTGGGTGGCTTTTAGGGTATTTCTATGCTGCTATACAACACCTGCAGCACCAAGTCTCAGAGCCCAGCTCAACTGTCTTGGGCTCGTGGGGCTAAAAATAGACCCTCCCCACTCATAGGGGTCTCAGAGCCCAGGATCCAGCCTGACCCTGAACATCCACGCCAATTTTATAGCCCTGCAGCCTGAGCCAGTTGACCCAGCAGCCTGCCTATGGGTCTTTTATGGCAGGGTAGACGTACTCTTCCTTATTCCCTTCCTAGCACAGGGAGGAAGGTCACTGTAGGGAGCCTCTCTCCTTGCCTTGGGGACAGAAGGATGCTCCTGGAGTGTCTGTGGGGGACTCACCTAGGTGGGCTGGGGTGCTGTGGGTCTGACTAGGAGGCCTCCACAGCCCAAGGCTGGGAACCCCGGTGGGCAGCCCAGCTGTTGATGGATGACTGGGGATTCTGGAAACGGTGGCACTGTCAGACTGACGGCTGTACCCACGAACCTCATGCCGGCTCACTGGGTAGCCTTCATCCAGGGGACGAATCAGCAGCTTTGCCAGCTTGTACTCCAGGTAAAGGGCCGTCCTAGCACCAAACAGTCAGTCAATGACACTGCCATCAAAGATGGCCAATAAACAGGGGCTGAGCAATGGCCCCATGGCAAACACAGGACCCACAATCATCAAACTCACCACTGTACATCGGCACCACAGTACATCAACAAAACAAATCCAGAGATTCTGCTGGGGCAGGGAGTCCAGGGCTGGGATACCGGAGGGGCGGGGAGCTGCAGGTCAGGGGTGAGGAGCACTGGCAGAGCTGTGTGTGGGGAGCCCAGGGCTGGGATAGCGGGGGGGCTGCAGGTCAGGGGTGAGGGGTAGAGGCAGAGCTGTGGGTGGGGAGCCCAGGGCTGGGATAGCAGGGGGGCTGCAGGTCAGGGGTGAGGCTCTCGTCAGGACATCACCATCTGCCCTTCACCAGCTCGATCAAAAGTGGGTTAAGTAAAAATTTCATAGCAGATTCCCTCCCAAGTTCGTACTTTCCTGCCCCAGCCTCCCCAAGCAGGGACTGCTGCACTCGCTTTGGCCCTCACCACAGAGTGCTGTGGTTCCCATTTCATTTGCTGCTCTCTCAGTGTGTGTAGCCCTCTTACTTCTCCCTGCCCCATAGGTTGCACTGCCACCCCTGCCCCAGGACCCAGACCGCTAGACAATCTCCCAGAGTTCACACCAACCTCCCTTGCTGCGCTGGCAAGTGTTCCAAGCCAAGGGACTACCACACACCCCGTCGCACAGGGCTTCTGAGCAGCAGCAGGGATGGAACCCAGCTCCCCCTGCTCCCAAAGCATGAGCCCCTGCCTATAGCTAAAGGAAAGTCTCTGTTACCTCTCAGCGCTACGGAGCCCATGACACACAGTGAAATAGTTCTTATCCCATCCTGCAGAGAGCAGCAGTGAGCACACACATCCACACTCACCTCTGAAAAGGGGGTAAGCGCTCCCTCCTCAGCCAGCCCAGGATCCTTTCCCTCTCTGCATCAGTGGCTCCATAGTGAGGAGAGCTTGGCTTCATCCCCGTCTGGCTGGGAGACTCCGAGAGGAAGCTGTCCAGCTCCTGCAGTTGCCCCCTGAGCCGGTCGTAGCGCAGTCTCAAAGGAAAGGCCTAGACCAAAGGCAAAGCCCCCCATCAGCCTGGAGACAGACACAGTGCTGGGGACTGACAGGTCGCAGAAGGCTCCCTCTCCATGGATCAGCTGTTTGCTTTTAATTCTGTTACACTGAATGAATCAAACTGAGTGCAGGGGCAGCAGGTTCAGTGCCGAGGAGAAGCACCCTCTCCCCCGCTCACTGCTGACTTGCACCCACCGCTGTCCCAGTCCTGGGCTCCCCTCACACAGCTCTGCCAGTGCCCCTCGCTCCCAACCTGCAGCCCCCCTGCTATCCTAGCCCTGGACTTCCCACACCCAGCTCTGCCAGTGACCCGCACCCCTGACCTGCTTCCTGACCCTGATTCTAAGCTATGCCACCTTTGTATCCCATTCCCTGGATTCTGAAGGCAGCTAGGGACTAACCCAGTTCCCAGCATAAGTAAGAGCTGCCTCAGGGGCTGCTTTAATGTACAGTGCCTGCCATGGCCCCTTATGGGCGCTGCAGCAGCACAGAATAGCTGGAATGCAGGTGCTCTGGCCATATACCCTGCCTCCCACAGCCATGCCCCCGGTAAATCCCTGCTTGGGGTGGGGTGGTGATGGGCCATGTCACGGCCCTATGCAACCCTATGCTGGGGTAATTCCTGGGGGACTGGTTCCATCAGCTCGGCAGTCCCTTTGCGCTCTCAGGGTCTAAGGGAAGGGGCTGCCTCGGAGCCCAGCTCAGCAGCGACTGTAATAGGCTCTGTGTGACATTAAAGGTGTAGCCCAGTTTCCAGCGGTCACATGTCCACATCAGACCCTCCCCATGAAGATGAGCACTAATTGGGTGCTGAGGAAGATCTCCTGCCAAGGACTGGGGAGGCTCCCAGGTCAGGGCTCACTCCTGTCCACAGCCCAGCCTCCCAACCACTGGCCATCCCCTGAAGGTGCCATGCTAGTGCCACTTACCTCTCCCCCATCAGGCCCCTGCCCCCTCCAAACACCCACTCGCTAGCAGTTACTGAGAAGGGTTCCTTCGGAGTAAATCTGCCCGTGCACTTCTCAGACTAGTGGCCAGGCTCTTCCCTCACAGACACTGATGTAAATCAGGAAAACCCCCAAGGTAATGGCTGCAGTCACACAGGGATAAGTGAGGGAGAATCCATCCCTTGAGGTGAGTGGAGGCAGAGCCAGGCAATGAGAGCAGGTGGAAGGAGGAGCTGGACTCACAGGCAGAGCCAGGAAGGCATTGAAATACTCTAGGAAAAGGTCATCATAGGTCAGCAGCTCCTCCAGCACCCCCGGACCTGAAAGGAGAGAGAGACCAGCAGGGATCCCAAGGCAGCAGCTGGAGAGCCCAGCCCTGCCCATGGCTGCAGCAGCAAAGGGCGCCCACATCATCCGCCCAGCTCAGGTCTCCCCGTAGTGAGCTCCCTGGGGTGCTCCAGGGCAGGCAGATGCATGAAGATCAAATGGTGTTACTAGAGGCTTGGTCAGCATCCAGTGCAGAACGAGGAGGGGAAGAGCCCTGCTCTGGATTTCCATCTCCCCACTCCTCTGGACTGTACCCTGGGTGCAGGTCCCAGCCAGGGAGGAGAGAGAAACTGGAACTGGATTCCTGCCCCTGCTGGAATGATTCTGGTGTGCCTCTGGCTGGGCTGCCCTCTGCAGTGAGCTGCCCAAGGAGTTAGTCCAGGGATATTTGGAGGCACCCTAGGATCACAATGCCCCCAATAGCACTGGACTTATTCCCCATTCCCCACTCAGTGACCCCGCCTCTTCTATCCCACACACACGCATGGGGGACTTGAATAGAACACCCTTGTGGGATGGTGTATTTTGCCGAACGATGGATCCACAGGGCAGCTTTCCTGTATGGGTCACATAACTCAGCAATCATTGTACCCCACACTCTGATTAAACAACCAGTGTCTCTAGGGGGTGTCTAGCTGGGGTTCTGGGGGTGGGGGGTCTATGTTTAAATACATTCCCTCGCTCTGGTATTTTTGTGATGGGAGTGTATTTAGAGCTTAGGAAAGTGAGAGACTGACAGCAACAACCAGAGCCAGACAGAGACAACTTTACTTATGCAGTCCTGCCCATGCCCCTCGCTCCTGACCTGCAGCCCCCCTCCTATCCCAGCCCTGGGTTCCCCACACACAGCTCTGCCCAGGCCCCTCACCTCCAGATACTCTAGTTCTGGATATCAATCACGCCAAACTGTGCTGTGATTTTGTGTTGGGCACTAACACAGACTAGAAAGAGAGAGACACCAAAGTCCATTCCGATTATCCTATGCTAAGATTCAAACCCAGAGCTCCTGTGTCCCCAGGAGTTCCCTCCCCCCATCCTTCCAGTGACACCAGTCCCGTCACATGAGCTCACTATGCCTTTGACTCTCTCCTTGTACCAATATTAAGATTAAGTCTCCTCCAAACAAACCCAGGCCGTTCTGGGCCCGACGTGTCCAAGCAACACTGTGTAATCGCCTCCGTGAGCCAGGGAGGCAAGTGCGGGCAGTTCGCAATGCAGAGGCTGGGTCTGCTCAGGGAAAGTGACAAAGGCTGCACTCCCCTAGGCCAGGTTCTGCTCCCTGCCTGCACACTCCACTCTGGGCAGGGAAAGAGACCAGACAAACTGTAAAAGGAGTACTTGTGGCACCTTAGAGACTAACCAATTTATTTGAGCATAAGCTTTCGTGAGCTACAGCTCACTTCGTTGGATGCATACTGTGGAAACTGCAGAAGACATTATATACACAGAGACCATGAAACAATACCTCCTCCCACCCCACTCTCCTGCTGGTAATAGCTTATCTAAATTTGAGATCACTTGCCTTACAATGTCACTTGATCAGATCAAGTTGGGCCATTTCCAGCTCAAATAAATTGGTTATTCTCACCTTTTTATTATAACTCAGCCCGCCCCCTGAAACACACACACTCCACAGACCCACTCTCCTGCTGGTAATAGCCCTTCCAAAGTGACCACTCTCTTTACAATGTGTATGATAATCAAGGTGGGCCATTTCCAGCACAAATCCAGGTTTTCTCACCCCCTCCCCCCCCCCCTCCAAAAACTACACACACAGACTCACTCTCCTGCTGGTAATAGCCTATCCAAAGTGACCATTCTCCTTACAATGTGTATGAAAATCAAGGTGGGCCATTTCCAGCACAAATCCAGGTTTTCTCTCACCCCCCCCTTTTCCAAAAACTACACACACAAACTCACTCTCCTGCTGGTAATAGCTTATCCAAAGTGACCATTCTCCTTACAATGTGTATGAAAATCAAGGTGGGCCATTTCCAGCACAAATCCAGGTTTTCTCACCCCCCCTCCCAAAAGGAGAGTGGTCACTTTGGATAAGCTATTACCAGCAGGAGAGTGGGGTGGGAGGAGGTATTGTTTCATGGTCTCTGTGTATATAATGTCTTCTGCAGTTTCCACAGTATGCATCCGATGAAGTGAGCTGTAGCTCACGAAAGCTTATGCTCAAATAAATTGGTTAGTCTCTAAGGTGCCACAAGTACTCCTTTTCTTTTTGCGGATACAGACTAACACGGCTGTTACTCTGAAACCAGACAAACTGTGTATCTGCGAGAGGGGCAGAGCTGCCCGCCCGGCTGACCCCACTGGCGTGAGGCCCCAGGAAGGGGTGAAAGTGCGTGACTGCAGCACCAGTGCCCCCAGGAGCAGGACAGGCCATACCGGCCCCAAAGAGTTTCCTTGTGCCCCTGTCACTGCTGGGAAGATCCCCCTCTCCACACTTGCTCCACTAACCCTGGTGTATCAGGATGGCAGAATCTCACTGGGGTCAGGAAGAAAGTGCTCCCTGTGGGACAGTATCACATAGTTCAATGTCCTGGGAGAGGCTGCTCTTCTTGCTGAAGCATCCAACAATGGCCACTTCTAGAGATGAATACTGGACTGGAGGGGTCACAGTCTGATCTGCTACTTGGGGGGCTAGCGTGAAACCAACTGAGAGTAACTGGAGAGGGGCTGTCTCAGATCAATGGTGACCAATAGTTGTCTGTGTCTGACAGCTGTTTGGTGGCCCCATATGCAATGAGTTTGGTGGGCCTCAGTACAGTTCCCCAATGGCCAATTGTCTGCATCACAGACCTTACCCCCATAACAGGCCCCCTCAGTAGTCTAAGCAGAGTGGCCACAAAGTAATTGGGACTTGGCACCTGAGTAACCCTCCCTCCCCTAGAAGGGGCTCCTTTGGGGCAGGGCTGAGGCAGATTTGGGGGGCAGTGTGTATGGGGGTGGGGGGGGGAAGCTGGCCTTGCCTGCACCTGTTCTGTAGCTAAACAGAGGCTCCGAGTCGAGGGCTGTTAGACTGGAATCCTTCACGAGCCTGAAATTCACTCCAAAAATCATTCCCCACCCAGCTGCTTTCCTGTGACAAAACTCTGTCCCTACTGACCTGCCCCGGGAGACCTTGCTCTGGTTGCTCCGTCTGCATGCATGGTGAACCAAGCTGCTCTGGGGGGGACTCAGCGTCCCTCTCCTCTCCCCGCTCTGTGTTTACACACTGCTCTGTTTGCCTGGGACATATTTACAGTTGGTGGCAACTGAGTCACTGGGTGGGGCAAGGCCAGTCACTTACTCTGTTCTATGCACCCTGCTCTCTTTGGGCTCGGCAGGGCTTCAGCAACAGATGAAATAAGCAGGATGGTTCTCAGCAATTTGTGCCTGGCTGGAGGCTCCTCCCTCTTGCTGGGATCCAAGCAATCTCAGGCCTAAAATTAACAGATGCTAAGCTATCAGCTGCACCAGACATTCTGCTGTCCTCACTGGAAGGCACAGCTAGCCTTGAGTCTCTCCAACATAGACCAGAGCTGTGCTGCTCTCTGCTAGCTCCAGCATCAGCAACTGTAGATTTAACCTTCACAGAGCCCCTGTACCCCACAGGATTCCAAAGCATCACACAATCACTGCTTGTACTGTCACAGCTGAGCTGCCTCTAGAGGAGAGCACCCAGCTTCACTGCACAGCCTACGGGGGAGAGATCCTTGGGAAAAACTCTCTTCTTCCCACAAGGTCCTCTGATGAGGGGTACAAACCCCACACTGGCCAAGAACGGGTTAACAGGAGCCGCTGGGCTCAGTCAGCCCTGCCCTGCTACCCCACTAGGGGTGTCAGGCTTGGAGGGCGGTGACAAGAGGAGAGCCCAGCTCAGCTAGGTGCTGGTTAGGAGGAAGAGCAAATGTTATAGACTCATCGAATCACAGAAGATTAGGGTTGGAAGGTCATCTAGTCCAACCCCCTGCTCAAAGCAGGACCAACCCCAACTAAATCATCCCAGCCAGGGCTTTGTCAAACCGGGCTTTAAAAACCTCTAAGGATAGAGCTTCCACCACCTCCCTAGGTAACCCATTCCAGTGCTTTATCACCCTCCTAATATCAAACCTAGACTGCCCCCACTGCAACTTGAGACCATTGCTCCTTGTTCTGTCATCTGCTACCACTGAGAACAGCCTAGCTCCATCCTCTTTGGAACTCCCGTTCAGGTAGTTGAAGGCTGCTATCAAATCACCCCTAATTCTTCTCTTCTGCAGCCTAAATAAGCCCAGTTCCCTCAGCCTCTTCTCAGAAGTCATGTGCCCCAGCCCCCTAATCCTTTTCCCTGCCCTCCGCTGGACTCCCTTCAATATGTCCACATTCTTTCTGTATTGGGGGGCCCAAAACTGGACAGTGCTCCAGATGTGGCCTCACCAGTGCTGAATAGAGGAGAATAATCACTTCTCTAGATCTGCTGGCAATGCTCCTACTAATGCAGCCCAATATGCCATTAGTCTTTTTGACAACAAGAACACACTGCTGACTCATATACAGCTTCTTGCTCACTGTAATCCCCAGGTCCTTCTCTGCAGAACTGCCATTTAGGCAGTCGGTCCCCAACCTGTAGTGGTGCATGGGATTCTTCTGTCCTAAGTGCAGGACTCTGCACTTGTCCTTGTTGAACCTCATCAGATTTTTTTTGGCCCAGTCCTCAATTTGTCTAGCTCACTCCGGACCCTATCCCTACCCTCCAGCGTACCCTCCTCTCCCTCCAGCTTAGTGTCAACATGAACTTGCTGAGGGTGCAATCCATCCCATCATCCAGATCACTAAAGAAGATGTTGAACAAAACCGGCCCCAGGACCGACCTCTGGGGCACTCCACTTGATACCGGCTACCAACTGGACATCAAGACATTGATCACTATCTGTTGAGCCCGATGATCTAGCCAGCTTTCTATCCACCTTATAGTCCATTCATCCAATCAATCCATACGTCTTTAACTTGCTAGCAAGAA